CTTCCTTCCTTCCTTCCTTCCTTCCTTCCTTCCTTCCTTCCTTCCTTCCTTCCTTCCTTCCTTCCTTCCTTCCTTCGAGACAGAGTCTCTTTATCCAGCTCTGACTGTCTTGGAACTCACTATGCATACCAGGCTAAACTTGAACTCACAGAGATCTTCCTGCCTCCTACCTCCCACTGGATTAAAGCCAGGGACCACCATACCTTGAAGCAATCTTCAAGATTTATTTTTAATAGTTTAAATCGGGGGGCGGGACACTCATACCTGTGTGTGGGTGCCCACAGAGGCCAGAGGTGTCGGATTCCTCTGGAGCTGGAGTTACAGGCAGTTGGGAGCCATCGAACATGGGTGCTGGGAACTGAGTTTGGGGACTCTGAAAGAGCAGTACTTGCACGAAACACTGAGCCTGCTCTCCACTCAGGAGAAATGGACCCATTAGCCACGCAACAGACTGGCAATACCAGTTATACAGGGTCAGGAAAAAGGATTGAGGGAGACCAGAGATATGACACCTTGGAAGACAGCAGAGCAAGAGGAGGCTAACACCAAGCCTGAAGAGTGGTCAGATATGACTGCGGGACCCAGAGCAGTGAGTGTCTCAACACACATGTCTAAGAGCACAGTTAGCCAGTGGTCTGCCATAGAGAAGGCAAGATACAAATGGAAAACACCCATGGGGTTTACTTAAAAAAAAAAAAAAAAAAAAAAAAGCACAACCCATATGTACATAGAGAAATAAGTACATCCAGCGACATCCAGGTCCTAATTGGTGCTTCCAATTTAGACGTCAGAGCACGGGACTGTGCACGAGGCTAGTACCACGTAATGGTTCTTAGGGTAAATCCCATGGTGGGTCAAACAAAATGGGAACACTGGCCTCACTGTCCAAAACAGAAGCTCTCTCCATTCACACTATTTGTGCCGCCCACACCAGGTTCCTGCCAGAGGTGTGAGGCTGTGTGGAAAGGCTAGGCAGGATGTATGAGCTGTATGCCTGCCTATCGTCTATGTTTTCAGTGATACTGCAGACTAAACCTCAGGCCACACCAACGCTGAACAGGTAAGTTACCCCCAAGCTATATTCTTAGTACCCCTGCCCTCTACCACACAGCTTTTGGTTTTGTTTTTAAATTTTATTTCAGGTGTGTGGGTGTTGTGTCTACACGCATGCCTGCTTACTATCTGCATGTCTGTTACCCACAAAGGCTAGAAGAGGACATCACACTCCCTTGAACTAGAGTTACAGATGACTGTGAGCTGCCATGTGGGTGCTGGGAACCTACCACCAGTCCTCTGGAAGACTAAACAGAGCTCTTAACTGCTCAGCCATCTCTCCAGCCCTTTGGGTTTTTTGTGTGTTTTGTCTTTAATTTTTTTTTAATTTTGAGGCAGTCTTACTAAGTATCCTAGGTTGAACTTTTAACCCTCTCATCTCAGCTCCAATGGTATTACAGGCAGATGGTCTAGCTAGTCCTGATTACCTTAATCATATCATCCATGATGTGCACATCAAAACCTTCACAGTCACCACAAGGCATCCGGATCCGCCACAGATCCTATGAAGGAAGAACAGTCCCTAAGTTAAACACTTGGACCACAAAAAGTGGCTACATGAATATGGGTCAGGAGGGATGCTCATCAAGGTGACACAAAACTTTAATCCCAGTGCTTGGGAGGCAAATAGGTGATCTCTGTGAATTTGAAGCTTCACAATAGTTCTAGGCCAGCACTGACTCAGAACCACCCACACAGCTCACTGTTCCTATATCTCAGACACAGATACCCCCACCCCCAACAAGGAAAAATCTACAAAGACAGTGAAGAGCCAGGGTGGCCTGTGTGACAGAGTGGATGAAGACTATGTAAACTGACAGAACACCACAGAGATGATCAACCAGAACTACTACGCTGAGATTCTGTAAGCAGCCCTCTGGGGCCCTAGTATAAAAGGACAGAAGTCCCCAAAGCACACTCTGGCCAGTCCCTCTGTCCCTGCTTCTTAGGCCTGGGAATAAGCATCCTTTTCTATACTCTTCAGTCACAAGAGCAACAATCCATACTGAAATTCTGTCAGGTAAATAACACAGAAAAATGCCCAGAAATTAAGTGTTGGAGCCATAAGGCTACCAACAGACAGAGCCACTCTCATCAAAGGAATATCAAATGTGCTTCACTCTCCACCTCAGGTTCAAAGCACTTCAAAACCCTTTTAATAAAAAACGCCTCTCCCAAAATGACTTGGTGACTACTGTGGTTCTGCTTTGATGAGAGAATTAAAATGAAGCTTTTCAATTCCTTCTTGCATAAAAAGGAGAGGTCCCACTCTCGGACCGCTCTAACAAGCGAGGCCTCCGTTCTCTGCAAGCGTACAGCGAGCTGCACAGCGTGCCGCCTGAAACACTTAATTCATGTTTTTAATTATTCTGATAAGCCACAATTGTAAAATGACAACACACAGTCATTTTCATTTTATATGTCAAATAAAATGACTGGTTTTTAAAAATGTAGTCTTCCTCTATTCCGTCCCATAGCCACTGATGCAGAAAAGAAAGGCCTGTCAGCCGGGCCCAAGCAGTTCCACCTGCACTCCAGGACTCTGAAGTGCACACTTCCCCACCCTCCTGTTGCTTTGGTGTTCTGCAAAGTTCCAGATGGCCTACCCTGAACTCCACGATCATGGCATGCAGTGAGGCAGCCTGGGGCATCACCACAGCTCCAGGTGCCAGGTGCTGGTCCACAGAGGTACGAACGTACCAGAAGTATAGGTTGTGCCACGGCAGCAGGCTGGTAGTGAAGAAGGGTTCACCCAGGAGGAGGGAGACCTGGTAACCAGATAAGAAAAACAAATATCAGGAATGAAGCTAACACATGAAGGGCAGCTCAGCAATTTCACAGGAACATGTACCAAGTCATTCATTCATACATTCGTTTACTCAGTCAACGATGAGCATGTCCCTGAATACACAAAGGATTGCAGACTGAAGGACAATACAAACAAGGGAAGGAGCGGTCTTCCTATGAAAGAAGCAGGAAATAGGTGCATGCAGGGGCTTCAGAAAGGGCTTCCAGAATGGCTTCTGCCAAACCAAACAAAGCTGCATCACTGCCAGATAAACACGCCACCTGCACTGCACTCAAGCAAATGTGGACACTGGCAGCACAGTCCCTGGAAGACTACTTTCAGTCAACATTTGTGGAATAACAAACAGATGGAGGACTAGGAGTCAGAAGTCAGACAGGTGCGCAGAGGCTAAGCAAGGGTGTAAGTGAAAGCAAGGCCTTCTAGACATTTGCCAGAAAAGGATGAGGAGGGCAGGCCAGTAAAGGGGAGGCCAGACCAGCCAGGATCTAAATGGCCAAAGAGCCAAGGTGGCAAGATCTTTTGCCTTGAAGGCAAGATCTGTTCCTAAAAGCTTTATCCAGGGATTCAAAAGATCCTTCTGGGGCTGGAAAGATGGCTCAGAGGTTAAGAGCACTGACTGTTCTTCCAAAGGTCCTGAGTTCAATTCCCAGCAACCACATAGTGGTTCATAACCATCTATAATGTGATTTGGTGCCTTCTTCTGGCCTGCAAGCACATATGCAGGCAAAATATTGTATAATAAACTAATAAATAAAAAAAAAACCTTAAACAAACAAACAAACAAACAAAAACTATCCTTCTGAGGACCATGAAGCATGTAGGCAGAACCCTAAAGGTGGAGATGGTGATGGAGGTACTCTAAGAGAACACTACAGCATTCAGGCTAATGTGCAGGTCAGAAAAGCTGGGGCAGAGTCTGAGGAGACCTTCCAAGGCCTCAATGGATGGGAACAAGAGGACATGCAATAAATACAACAGATGTCAGAGTTTCAGGGTTGACCCTGAAACTTCCCTGCCCTCCACTCCTATCCTCATTGTCCGGAACACCACAGAGATGCCTTCTTTTAATAATTTCATCATTTCTACCCAACAGGAACCTGGAGTCTGGCCAGAACACCACAGAAATGACTTATAACTTTATGTTCTAAACCCTCATCAAGAATCAAAAGAGAAAGAATGAGGAAGAAGAGGAGATAATCAGTACTTAGATGTTCAAAGTAGCACTATTCAAAAAAGCTAAGAAATGCCAACAGCACAAACGTCCACCAACTGGCAAATGAGAAAATAAAATGTGGTATAGCCACACAATGGAGTATTAATCAACAACAAAAAAACAATGAAGAACTGACTTAGGCAGTAATGTGCATGATCCTTGAAAATATGTTAAATGTAGGACTGGAGAGATGGCTCAGCAGTTAAGAGCACTGTCTGCTCTTCCAGAGGTCCTGAGTTCAATTCCCAGCAACCACATGGTGGTTTACAACCATCTATACTGGAATCTGATGCCCTCTTCTGGCATGCAGGCACATATGAAGATAGAGCACACAAACATAAAATAAATAAAACCTTTCAGAAGAAAAAAAGGGGGGGGGGCTGGAAGGATGGCTCAGAGATTAAGAGCATTGGCTGCTCTTCCAAAGGTTCTGAAGTTCAATTCTCAGCAACCACATGGTGGCTCATAATCATCTATAATGAGATCTGGTGCCCTCCTCTAGCAAGCAGGCAAAATATTGTATAAATAAATAAATATTTGAAAAAAAAAAAGAAAATATGTTAATGTAAGTTACAAGTAAAATGTATATTACAAGTTAAAAGTCCACATATTACGGACCATAATGTTATGTGATTTCATATGTCTGATTTGTCCAGAATAGGCAAACCCACACAGATATAGACAATAAACTAGTGGTATCCTAAGGCTTGGGAGCACATGAGTGTAAGAACCAACAGAAAGACAGTGTCTTCTAGGGCAATAAAAACGCACTACACTTTGACCTAGTGATAGTTGCATACTTTACAAAACATACTTTATAAATCACTTATCCATACACTTTAAATGAGTGAATTGTATGCTATATGGATAACATCTCAAGCTGTCATTTAATAAAAGGCATGAGGGAAAACAGTCAAGAGACTTAAACAGACATTCAAGTAAGACTTACAAATAGCTATGGAGTACTGAAAAGGTGTTCAATAACAGTAGCTATCAGGAAAATACAAAAGTAAAACTACAATGATATGCCAATGTATTCCCACTAAAATGGCTATACTAAAAAAGAGAAAACCACAAAATGAATCTTCCATACTGGTGGAGAGGTACAACCCAGTAACTATGAACATTTCAGTGGCTGCTGCATCTTTTCTCTTTATATTATTGTTGCAGGGTATTTGATCCCATTGTGAACTGGAAAAACCTGTTTCTAGTTGTGGTGTGGCTCAGCCCTAGCACGCAATTTAAATCTAAGAGCTTTCCATAAGCAAGAGCCAACCACAGGTCAAAAGGTGGAGCATGCAACCAACTGACATAAGAAAACACAGGAAGAAGGACACTGAGTTCCAGGGTACTGAAGACAGCATGGAGAAGGAGAAGGGTTTGTTCCTTCTAAGATGCTGGCTGAGTAGGAAGATCAGCTGGGTGCTTTCTCTGCCTTTCTGAGCTAGAATGCTTTCATTCCAGCATCTGGCTTCCTGAGTCTTTTTGGTAAAAGTGAATGTTTGGGTTTTGGGTTTTTTTGTTTTGTTTTGTTTTTATAACAACAATTTATTTTTATGTACATTGGTGTTTTGCTGGCATGTGTCTATTTGAGAACGTCAGAAGATGGAACTGGAGTTACAGACAGGTGTGAGCTGCCATGTAGGTGCTGGGAATTGAAGCAGGTTCTCTAGAAAAGCACCCAGTGCTCTCAACTACTGAGCCATCTCTCCAGCCTTCAGTGGCTTCTTATGGAGTTAAACCCAGCAAGCCATGGTGGTACATGCTTTTACTCCCAGCATTCAGGAGGAAGAGGTAGGCAGGTATCTGTGAGATCAATGTCAACCTAGCCTAAAAAATAACCCTGTCTCAAAGCAAAAAAAAAAGCCTGCAGGGAGCTGGTGTTTAGTAGCCCCAGGTTCCTTGGTGAGCAGCTCTGAAGGCTGAAAACAATCTGAGCAGAAGAATCCTTCCAAGAGGACTTACTGTGAAGGAGGAAAGAAGAGAGTGGTACACACGTTCCGTAACCCCAACAAATTATTTTGCTCTCATCTGAGAGGCACAGGAACCCAGTTCTATGCTCACTGGGCCTTTATACAAACCCTCACCCATTCTCATAGTGGTGAGGTTTGGACTGGCCAAGCTGAATGAGGGACATCACACAGCATTTAGCCAAGGTGACAAGGTGTACCTTAGGCTACCTTTGTGCCACTCTGTCCCCAAACAGCCCCAGTAACCCATTCCTTACCTTCTTACCCTCCAGGTCTGCAGATGTAAGCAACTCAGGCCGTTTATTGATGATACTAATCTTATCTTCCAAGTGGTTAACCTTGAAGATCTTTGAAAGAAAGAATATAGCTGTTTCTACTCACACATCATTTTGGGCCACGGAAAAACAACTATCAGGCAGAAGTATAGCTCCATGGTAGAGAGTTTGCCTGGTGTGCTCAAGGCCTGGATTAATCCGTAGCATCACAGAAAATTAAAAATTAATATCTTTCAAAGTTATCTTCTCTGCTGAGTTTTCTGGCCAAATGGTTCTAGGGTACCACTTTATCTGCTCATGAAAACATCTCTTTAGGGACCTCCTACAGACCATGGAAGAGGTCATGAGCAAATGACATCTCATCAGGCAGGACCTATTCTTGGTCACGAAGCTTTGGTGGGGTAGGTTACTCAAGAAACAAATCACTCAGGTCTATTTTCACAGTTTCTTAGTCTTACGTGAAATGAGAAAAGACTAAACTCTGTTGGTTTAATATTCTTTTGAAATGTATACACCTCACCCTTGTTCATTCAAATGCTGATTTCTCCCTCCCCCACTCTCTGGTTTTAATCTGGATATTGCATTGTGATGCTTATTCTAAGCATCACCTGTCTCAACTTTGTGTAAACATCCAAAATAAAACAACCAGCCACAAGGTTGAGCAATAGAGAAGGAGTAGGTGGGGAGAGGGGAGGAGCCAGAGGACAGGAAAAGAGTGGGAGGCGGGGAGCTAGGAGAATGAACCAGACCTAAGATTTCACAAAAAGCAAGTATAATGGGTAAAATCTAAATGTTAGAAACTATGAGGGCTTGGAGGTTTAAGAGGGAGTAATTATTGCCCAGCATTGTGTTCTAGGTTAATTAAAAAAAAAAAAAAAAAAACCCAGTCTCTGTGTGGTGATTTGGTTATACAGCTGTTTAGGATTAACAGCAAGCTTTACCAGAAGATATATCAATAGTAAATATTAATGACCTAATACAACAAAACTCCTTCAACTACAAAAACCAGAAGCCTGTCATAGTGGTGCACAACTTTAGTCCCAGCACTTGGAAAGCAGAGGTAGACCTCTGTGAGCTTGAGATTTACACAGCCTGGTTTACACAATGAATTACAGACTACCAAGGTTACATAGTGAGACCCCATCTCAAAATCAACCAACCAAGTACAAAAAAATCCTACTAATTGGATGTCTGCCCCAGAGTCAAAACACCTGTGAGCTAGAGCCATGAAGCAGGGCTATTTCTACCAGTTCCTGGTTGTGATGCTATTGCAAAGTCACCCATCCCAGACTCAGGAAGGCAGGTCCAACAATCCCTTCATGAATTCAGTAACAACTGTTACTTACCCTTTTCATCAGTCTATAGGAAGCAACTGAACTCTCAACTGTAAACACCTGAAGAGAACACAGAAGATGGACTTAGAGCAGACACTCAATAAGAAAACATGTCAAGAGGATACTGAAACAGTGGCCTGGCCTTCCTACTTCCTTGGGACAGCAACTATGCTGGGTATTCAGTTAAAAAGATAGCTAACTCGGAACTCTATGCTGTAGCTACCTGGCAGGAGTAGCCATTACTTGACTCCTGACCACATATGGAAACAGTAAATTTCCTCAACCCCCAAACCAAGCCCATTCCACCCACAAAAGCTGCATCTGCAAAGGACTTTGATCACAGAATCCCATACTGGGACCACACCATGCCCTAATATCAGCCAACCTTTAAAAAAGTGAAAAACAACAAAATAGAAAAGAAAAAAAAAAAACTAAAAAGAGAAAAATGACCTTTACAGAGCCAATAGAAAGACATGCCCCAGTACCTGCTCTGCCCCGAGGTGATGGGCCAGCACGGAGAGCAGACTGCCATCGCTGACACAAAGGCAGATGCTACCTGGCTTTAGAACCTGCGGGAAAAGAGCAGGACCAGCAAAGGTTACCTCAGCTAGGTGCTTCCTCCTGACAAGCTAACAGACATGCTTCCCTTCCCTCAACTCCACTCACTTCATTTTTTTAAAGTCTCCCCCCCCCCCGCCCCGGCTCCGAGACAGGGTTTCTCTGTGTAGCCTGTTCTGGACTCACTTTATAGACCAGGCTGGCCTCAAACTCACAGCAATCCACCTGCCTCTGCCTCCCTGAGTGCTGGGATTACAGGTGTGCGGTACCATGGCCAGCTCCTAATGTTTTACTTTGTGTGTATGGGTGTTTTGCCTTCACATGGGTTTGTAAGCCACTGAGACCAGAAAGGGGCATCAGATACCTTAGAACTGAGTACTAGGAATCAAATCTGGGTCTTTGGGAAGAATAACACATGCCCTTAACTGACCCAACATATTTCTGAATACATCAGCTCTCATTCCAAAATCTGAATACATCAGCTCTCATCCCATCTTCCTCAATGCCAAGTTAAATTCTCTTGGCCTCTACATTTTCACGTCCGCCTCCTTAGCACACACAGTAACCAGCCATTGCCCTCCCTCCTTCTCTTCCTCTTCCCACAAGGGCCCACTGCTAGGGCAGACCATCCACAACCCTGCCAGAAGACCTGAACAGAGTTATTCCCCGCCTGGGTATATGTGCCCTACAAGTGGCTCTCCCAGGGTAGGGGGTGCCTTTATGGGTCACAGATCCATTGAAGAAGAATTAATGGCAGCTAAGAGTCTTCTCCCCTCAAAATACAAGCATGTGCAGCCATTTATCTGTACAACTCCAAGTGGTCCAGATGACTTTCTCTAAACCCTACCTCAGGACCTGGGACTGAACTCTAAGTCACAGAGTTCCATGGTCAGACTTACATATTAGGGAATTTTATTATGGACAACAGATGAAAACGGGAGAGGAGTAGCTAAAGGTGGGGACTACCCACACCAATTGCTGGTGATCACAGAGGTAAAGGTATCCAGAAGAACAACTGTGGGCTGGGGAAAGGCTCCCAGGAGAGTTCTTATGGGAACAGAGAACACCCAGTGGACCTCTCACAGAGCAGAGAACAAGGACAAGCTCTCAGGCTCTCTACTGTCTATACTCTAGGTGGAGCCAGTGGGATATTCCACTGACAAGGACAGCCAAAACAACTGTGAGAGCAAACCATAAGCATAACAGTGACTCGAGCACAGAGAGAGAGAGAGACACTTACAGTCCTCAGGGCCTGGGCATACTGATCAGTTCTGTCCTGATCATTGATCTCTCCAAACCGAGGCCGGTTCCAGAGCAAGTGAGCCTGACAATCACACACGGGTCGCACTTCGGAGATGCTCTCATTCTCATCAGGGCTGAGCAGGGAGATGAAAAGCCAAACAAGTGATAAATACTCTGCACTGGAAACCAGAGACCAAGAGGACACAGCACAAGGATGAGAAGGGCCCAGAAGATACATGCACAGGTCTCTCGAGCAGTCTAAATGAGTCTGGACACCAGCACGTTAGGAGTTACAGGGCCCTATGAATCCACACTTTTCATATATTTGTTTTGAATAGAACTTACACAAGAATATATCCTGCTATAAAGTTTTGCTTTTTAAATTATTATTATTATTATTATTATTATTATTATTATTATTATTATTATTGGTTTTACAAGAAAGGGTTTCTGTGTAGCCTTCGCTGTTCTGGACTCACTTTGTAGACCAGGCTGGCCTCAAACTGAGAGATTTGCCTGCGTCTGCCTGCCAGAGTGCTGGGATTACAGGTGTGTGGCATGGCACCTGGCTTAAATTATTATTTTATTTCACATGTGTGTGGGGAAGCACCATTAGGACAAACATAGAGGTCAGAGGACAGCTTTGTAGAATAGGTCCTCTTTTTCCATCATGTGGATTCTGTGGATTGAACTCAAGTCATCAGGCTTGGCTACAAGCATCTTTACCCAGAGCCATCTTACTGGCCCTTGTTCTTATTCTATTCCGTTCTGACATAAATCTGCCAGTTCAAATCCCTGCATGGTCTTTCCAAAGTTTACACCAATGCAGTTTCTGAGGGCTGGTCCCCAACAACAAAGGCATACCTGATCCTCCTCAGGCTGTACCACACACAGTAGTCATCATGGTGGGCTACCAGGCTTCGGGGTGAGCCCTGCACAACGGGTTCCTCGTGCGGCAGGAAGTATACACACTGCATCCAGTGGTCCCGCCACTGAAATGAGGAGTAGAAAACCAAAGTTTCCCAAAGCATGCCGGGACCCTGCTGACTTTAGAAGATGTCATCAAGGGCAGTGGTCTTCTGAGGTAGCTTTAGAAAAAGGGACAAGTGCAGGCTCTGCTCTCTCCTCACAGAGTAGTGCTGTCTTAGGGTCACTACTGCTATGATGACTAAGAGCAACTTGGGGAGGAAAGGGTTTATTTGGCTTATGCTTCCACATCCAATTTCATTATTGAAGGAAGTCAAGAGTAGGAACTCAAACAGGGCAGGAACCTGGAGGCCGGAGCTGATACAGAAGCCATGAAGCAAGTTTACTTGCTTGCTTTTCATGTCTTGCTCAGCCTGCTCTCTTATAGAACTCAGGACCACCAGCCCAAGGGTTTTGCCATGAACAATGGCTGGGCCTCCCCTATTAATCACTAATTAAGAAAATGCCCTGCAGCACAATCTTATGGAGGCATTTTCTCAATTGAGATTCCCTCTTTTAAGATGACTCTAGCCTGTGTCCAACTGACATAAAAGTAGCCAGCACAGCGCCAATGCTCCTTCCTTTACCTGTTGAACTGTGAGCCATCTTTCATTTGAAGGAAAATTTTCTGGCTCACAACCAAGGCTGACCTAGTGGCCTGGGGGAAAGCTTGCTCTAAGAGCCTCTTGGAACATATTCCAAGGCTTTAAAACACAAAAAGGTCAAGTACAACAAATACACAATATCTAATTTGATCCTAGACTAAGACATTTGGGGACAATTAAAAAAATTTACTTTGAGCCATGTTAGATGTTATAGAATAGTATGCTATTCGTTTTCTTAGGTGTGATGATGGTATTTTGCTTACGAGGAAACTGTTTTGCTCATATAAGTACCAAAAAGTGTCAGATATTTGTAACTTATTGAGCAGAAACTATGTGCAGTGAGAGAGGAAATGAAGGAAGCAAAGGAAAGAGAGGAGGAAAAGATACAGTAAATGTAGAAAATATTAGCAATTCGTAAATTGAAGTAAAGGTATTATGAGTGTCCATTTTCACTTACTCTGTGATTCTACAATTTTTCAAAACAAAAGTTGAGAAAATAAGGGCTGGGAAAGATGGCTTCACTGGTAAAGTGACTGCTGCATGACATGAGGACCCACGTAAAAAGCTCAAAAGCTGGGTGTCTATGACCTAGGGGATGGGAGGGACAGAGACATAGGCCTCTCTGAGTGGCCTAGTCAATCTAGTAAGATCAGTGAGTTTCAGGCTCAGTAAGTGCGTGTTTAAAAATGAAGATACAGAGAGGAGTTGAGAGAGGGGGCTTCAATCAGGATATATAATGAATAAACAAACAAACAAACAAACAAATAAATGAATGAAAATTTTTTAAAAACTGAAGCTGTAGGGTGACTGACCTCTGGCTTCCATACATACATGCACAGGCCTATCCGCAGGACATGTGCATACCCCAATGTCAGCAAGCACACACACTCCCACATACACCATAACTAATGCTCACACCACACTGTAGCACCCCCCAACAGTTTAAAATAACAGAGAAAGTTTGCATGGTTTATTACTTTTCATTAAATGGGTTTTTTTTTTTTTTTTTTTTTTTTTTTTTTAAGAACTAAGATATTCTAAATTGTGAAACATGATTTCCAGTGATTCTGACTGGGTTACGGCCAGAACATCAGACATGTGAGGCAACTGCTCTATCACTGAGCTCACCTGAGCCCAAGGTAACCTTCAATAAATTGTGATAATCCTTACTAAAAGCCTACATATAAGGAAAACAAGAAAAAGAAGAGGTAAAGAAGCTATTCAGATAAATAAGTATATAACTAAGTTATTTATACTAACAAAAAAAACCAGAACCAGCTCAAATGTCCAGCTCAGAAATAGGTTAAATATTCACAAAAAGTAATCAAAGACATGTAAAATGACAAAAACTATGAGATAGGATTTAAAAAAAGGACAAAACACAAAGAAAACAGGTTAAGCATTAAGTAACACTTTGTATTTGGAAAGAGGTGCAAAAAGAGGTAGCTGTTTTAAAGTGGGAGCTTACAATGTGAAGTTTTATATACTTCCACCTTACCAAAAGATGTTGTATCATCATCATCATTCTATTACTGCATTTTTTGGCAGGGTCTCACTATGTAGCCCTGTTTGGAACTTGTTACATAAACCAGGCAGGTCTCAAACTCAAAGAAATCCACCTGCCTCTATCTTCTGAGTGCTGGGATTAAAGGCCTATGCCACCATGGTACAATTTTCTTATAACTTGTAATAGATTTTTTTTTTAGAAAGTAAGATGGCAGCACTTGAAAAAAATTAAAAAGATGCTGGATGCGGTGGCACACATCTGTATCCCAGAGTTCAGGAGGCAGGGGCTGGTGGATCTCTGTGAGCTCGAGGCCAGCCTGAGCTACAAAGCGAGTCCAAACTAAGACTACATACACAGAGAAACCCTGTTTTGGGAAAAAAAAAAAAAGAAGAAGAAGAAAAAGAAAAAGAAAAAGAAAGAACTATCTAAAAAGTTGGTGCCTGAGTTAGATGTGTAATCCCAGCACTGAGCAAGCTGAGGAGCAGGATCATGAGTTTGAGGGCAACCAGGGTTACCTTGTGAGTTTGGGCCAGCTTGCTGTACATATAAAAAAGACACCTGGCTCAACAATGATAGCAACTACCTGTTTATTGTTATTTCCAGAAATTAAGAAAACCAGGTCTTGTCAGACTCCAACAGCACATAAGCAAATGAAGACAAGGCTAGTTCTACTTGCCTGGGACATAGCTCATCCACTGGGTCCAGAATTTAGCAAAACAGCTGGTACCTAAGATATCTATAAAGGCTAAAAAGTAAAAATTCAAAATCCATAAGAAGGTGTACATTTGTGTGCTTGTGTGTGTGTGTGTATAATAACAAAGGATAGACAAGTTAGGTCTCTCAGACCTGTTATTTCTTCCTATACTGTATGAACTTATCAGAAAACAAGTCACCATCTTTTTTCTTTCTTTTTGGTTTTTGAGACAGGGTTTCTCTGTGTAGCCTTGGCTGTCCTGGACTGGCTTTGTAGACCAGGCTGGCCTCGAGCTCAGAGAGATCTGCCTGTCTCTGCCTCCCAGATACTGGGATTAAAGGTGTGCGCCACAAAAACCCGACAGCCTTCTCAGTGTTCCTGGGTGCTTCCCTAACACCTGTCCTCCTATAAACCTGACACAAGGAGGCACCTGAGTTCTGCATCAGTTCCTAGATAGCTACCTGTTCACTCAAAGAACAGGGTGATGTGAGTCCTTGCAGTGGCCTTTCTGTTGTTCTTTTCCTATTAAATTAAGGATACGATGATCACTGTACAAGTGAGTCACTCTGCACATAAGCAAAAGTACCCAGGGCACTAACATCTACCACTTCCTGTCAGGCTGAGCTCAGCTGTGTTGTGTTCCGAGGATGTTCTGACAGTTTACGCTCAAGCCTCACCAACACTAGGTCACCGAATTTTATTTACTAATAGGTAAAGACAGTACTTCATTGCAGTTCATTTATGTTGTTTTATTTCATAGCAGTCTAAAGGTGAAAGCTTATCACAGGTTGAATAGTATTTCCATTTTGTAGTCCCTATTTCTCTGCTCATTTTCCAAGCTAGAGAAGGTGGATTTTGAATTAAAGGAAGTAAGGTTGTAGTTCCATTCCAAGTTGTCTTGAGACCTCTGGAATTACTTATGACAGATGGTAATGAGGTGAGTGGCTATGCCAGGACAAAGGAGAATGGCAGAGCTAATTCACTAAGACTTCCGTTGCTCACTGGGCCCACTGTTGTCAACCATGAACTCACCGGAGGGGAGAGGTCAACCTTACTACTGACAAGCTGTGTTTTCTAGTTTTATTTTTTATCATCATTTTCTTTGTAGGGGTGTGCATGTAGTATAGGGACTCACACAATAAAAGTGCTCTATCACTGAGTTACACCCCCAGTCCCCTGTGCTTGTATGTCTTCCCAAAAGAACATTTCTTCTTTGCCTTTGACTGATACAGTGATCTAGGGGTAAAAAGAAACAAAAATAAACAAGTTTCCTGACTTACATGGAATGTGCTCAGTGGCTGCCTCTTACCTGAAGCTCCTGTGGGTCTGTCTGTGCCCAAAAGGGTGCCATTGTGCATTTGATCTTCCCCTCAGGGTCCATTTCAATGTCCCACCAAGAGAGAACCACCTGTGCTTGGCCAGATGCCACAGGGACAAACTGTCTGCTGTGGCAGGCTGCTGAGCTACTGACTTGCTTGCTGAAGTCCACGCTGTAGAAGAATATTCAGGAAGTGGAGCACAATTTAACTTACATACTGCTCTGTTAAGCTTCCACAGAGACCTGCCCAACAACTGTACTGATGTGGAAAGGACTCAACTAGGTTTCTGCTCCACAGAAAAAGTCAGCCGATCAAATGTCTCAAAGCACTGCCACCCAGGGAGGCCCCACAGTACCTGAACATGGTTAGCACGTCACTGAGGACCGTGAAGTCGGCAGGAGACACCTGGTTCAGCTGAATGTCACAGACGGAAGGTGCGCCAGGACACCTCTCCAATTCTGAGGGAGGGACGATGATCTGCTCCCCAAGACTAGTCTCAACACGGATAGGAAACAGCTTGTTCCACGACCACATCCTTCTGGACTCCACCAGCTGGGCATAGACAGTTGCCCTGTGAGGCACTGCTTCACAGTCTTCCTAAGTTTACATGACAGCAAAGCAACAGGGAAGGCAGTCAGTCAGTGTACGAGTAACTCACACCTGTCAAAGCTTTAATACTCGGCTGATTTAGTAACTCTAACACGTTCCCCACCAGCAGAGTAAACTGTTTTCTGCCCTAAGTCTTGGAGAAAAAAAAAAAAAAAAAAAAAAAAAGGTACATCATGCCTAAAGTGATTATTATTTTTAAAGACAAGGTCTTGTTATGCAATCTAGACTAACCTCTTATAGTCTTTCTGCCTCAGCCTTGAGTGCTAAAACATTGTAAGATAATTCGTAGTTATCCAGAACTATTAAATATTTCAAAAAAAACTACTTATTGATATGTTGATGAACCCTGTGGACCTGGAAGAGTTTTCCAAACAAGTAGACATTCTAGTTTCAGACTCATAATAACCCTTCGGTGCAGCCCTTGCCAATTACACAGGACATTAGCCCTCTTTTGTTGGCATAATGTTATTGTGCACTGTGTCTTCTTCCCTTGTATTATTCAAATGCTGGTTTCTGTATCCCACTATCTGGTTGGAATCTGGGCATGGCTTTGTTATGTTTATTCGAAGTATCTCCTGTCTCAAATTTGTGTACACACGCTCACCAATTGTTCTCTACCTTGCTAATAAAACACTGACTAGCTAATGGTGACTGAGAGAGAGAATAGGGTGGCACATCCAGGTCCACTGGGAGGAAGAGAAACAGAGAGGAAGTAGGAGAATGAGCCATGAGGAAAGGTCCAAGAAGGACCAGGAGAAGTGAACCAGAACCAGGAGAAGATTTAAAAAATACAAGTATGATGGAGATTTTGGATGGGAGGAAGCTAGACTAGCTTGGAAATTTAGGATAGAGTAATAATTGCTCAGTATTGTGCTCAAGGCTAATTAAATAAATCATGGTCTCCATGTGTCATTACTTGGGTAGATAGCTGGCTATAGAAAAACTGCTGCTGTACTAATTTTATGAGCATATAGTCACATTAATAATCATTCTACAATTGGCACCCATCATGGGGCAAGTACTTAAAGATGCTCTCTCTAAGATAAAAGCCATAATAGCAGCTGGGAAGGTAGCAAAAGTGGTTTTTCCCCAAACCTTGAGAAAAAGGTTCCTGAGAAAAAGGTCAGAATGCACACTAGTCTGGCACAGGCCTTTCAGAGCTGCGGCAGGCAAACACCTGGCAAACACAGAGCTGGCGGTCAGCCCACTCCCTGCTTGGGACAAGTGGGAACTGGATCACAGAGGCTCTAACTATTCCTGCTGAGAGAGGAGCAGGCAAGCTGCAGAGCTCTAGGCAGAGGGTTGGGAAGGAACGTGAAAGCTCCAGTCCCATCCTGCCTCAGGCCCACTACCTTCATGGAGTGGGCAGAGGCCAGAAACTTTGGCTTAGCCAAGCATGGCAGGACACACTGCCTTGAGATTGTCAGTGGACAGGAGCCCCCTAATGGTAGTCTGTGGCTGCTCAGAGTCAAGACAGCAGAACAACCTAGAGGCTCCCTTAGAACAATGAGGATGGGTGTCAACTACTTTGAACAGCCAGCCGGACTCCTTTAAAAGAGGGGCTCTCACAAGAGGACTAATAACATCTCAGCCTAGTGCAAGATACAGAACCCAGACCCAAACCTCTAAACGAGTATAGTATGCTTTAAAATGTGCTTAAGCACTAAAGATAGCAAAATGTTTAAATAAAGTTGGGTACAGGGAAAGATGTTAAGTTAAAAGAGGAAAAAAGGAAGGATAAATAAATCCACATAAAAAGTAAATCTTTGAGGAAAGCAAAAAAAAAATAATAATAATAATAAGCATATGTCTTTAACCCAAACACTCACTAACAAAGGCAGAATCGGGCTACATAGAATAACCCTATCTTGATAAATATAATAAAGTATACTATAGTGGAGGATATTTGGACTCTTGTTTTGATTATCAATATGAAAATGGTTGTATGTTCAGTGGTAATGGTAATATTATGTATCCTCTTTGAGAGAGACCAAAAGGAAACAGACCTAGATAAAAAAGGGAGACTGCTAAATTAAATCAGTCTATGCTTATAATGACTTCAAACTGCAGAACAAAAGTTATCTTATGTTGGAAGAGAGCCTTTATGTTTATGTCAACAGGAAAGAAAAAGCTTTGGATTCCATCCAAAGTAATAAAAATCAGATCTGTCAGAGAGAGACCTCCTGAAGATCTTGGCTGCAGACAGGACTAAAGAAATAAAGAGGAAAAACAGGACAGGTAATGAAAATGCTAGTCCCTCTATATGAAACAACTCTGAAACTGACTGGAACATATAAGTGTCTCCAGCCAGAACTTCAGCTGGCATGATCAATAAAGCTATGGCTACAAAAGTCCTCAGAATTCATCATGCCATCCTTTCATATGCCATAGATGGAGATTTATATTGCAGTTTTGGTTACAACCAAAACTTACAACAGCTTATAAGAAAGAGAGATGTCTTTCACTTACTCAAAGAACAACACTTCATATTTAACTGATCTGTGCACACTGCACACACCATAGATTGTTATTACAGAAATGTATGTTACCTTTAAAAGTTTGTGTTTACAAAACAAAAGGACAAAACACCATGAAGATAAAATACAGACTAACAAGATCCATCCTAGAGGATGCTGAGACACTGACATCCTATGTGATCCAGTATCACAGACTGCTCCACTCTGGACTTCAAATAACTTTACACTTTCACAGCATTTAGAGCCTGAACAAATGTTGCTGCTAGTTTGCTTAACCATTTTTTCCCAATTTCCTTTGGGTCCCCCAAAAGAAATATGCCCCAAATCAACAGGAAGAAATTTTAAGAGAATTTCACCCCATTTCTCAAAAGATAGAGTAGGTGATTTTGGTCATTTGATGGGCTATGGATATTTGTGGTCATTTAGGGGAGTTGGTTACAAGTTATTAAATGGTCTTGATCAGGAAAAACAAATAAAGATATAGAAACTTAACACTCAGGGATTTCTCTCTGTCCTTTTCTTTTCTCTATCCTTCTTTCTTTCTTAGGGAAGAGAAAAGAAGTCGAGAGGAAAAAGGAGGAAAATATAGGAATAATAATAATAATAATAATAAAGTGTAGATTATGAAATCTTCTCTTAAACCAAAGAGCATTTTATAAGACAGTAATCTTATATTGGTTTAGATTTTGTATACTGATACAGAATTAAGGTTATTTTTGATACATTGGTATAGAATTTTATATACTGATAGAAAATTATGGTTGCTTTTGATAGATGGATATATTTTTGTATACTGATAAAAATTTAAGGTTGTTTTTGATACACATAATGTATATGTTTCAACTCTTGTATAAGATATTGAACCTATACATCTCATTTATTTATTTGCTTATTTACTTATTTGTCTGCTTATCTACTTGTTCAATTTTTTGATGCAGGGTTTCTCTGTGTAGCCTTGACTGTCTTGGACTCGCTTTGTGACCAGGCTAGCCTTAAACTCACAGAGATCTTACTGCATCTGCCTCCCCATGTGCTGAAACGGCAGGCGTGTGCCACCACGCGCAGCTACTGCAACTCATTTATAAATGCAAAGTTTACTTCTAGTCCTTCTAAAAGCTGCTATTACAAACTGTTTAGGATAATTAGGCAGTGCATGTTAATAGTCAATCAAACTCATAGTCATGTCAGATACTAGTCTAGTCTATTGCAGAGATGTACATTCTAGGTTGATCAGATAGTAAATAGCTAAAAACAAGAAATACTTGCCTATACAGATTCACTATAGATAGATATGATTATGCACTACATAGTATAAATAGATAGATAGATGGTCTTTAAAAACCTCAGAGATCTACAGAATATGGCATTCAAGGATATTTTTTATTAATTTAAGGCTTTTTGACTTAAGACATGTCAGCTCCTAGCAACACCCCAGCCTACCTAAAAGATGATGGACACTGAACAATCTCCATTAGGAGGTGGCTTTTAATATGGCAAGCTGCCACCTGGCAAAGAAAATACCCTCACTTAAACAGCAGTCAGAACACTGTCCAAAACTGGCAAACTTGGATGCAGGGAAGTTGACTGCCAAGCTCTGCCAAGACAGGGTTAAACAAGTCCTTCACTGTTCCTGCTTCACAGATATATCTGTCAGACATTCTGGACCAAAAGGCTGAAGAAGGATGTTCCAAAGTTATAGAGGAATTTGGGTGACCTTCTAGGCAGCCAGCTATCTGTCTATTCTTAGCATTGGAAGCTGCTTGCCTGCAGTTTCTATGTACTTAGATAATATTTATTTCCTTCTCAAATCTCTGATGGGGTTGAAAACTAGATAGTTTTAGTCTTAAAATTAAGCTTAGTTGTTTATGATTTAAGATGTTTTAGATTTAAGAAGATGGTTTTCGTAATGCAAATAAGGATAGAAAATGATTTAGGAACAGAGAGCTCTGAACTCATCAAAACAGGAAAGGTAAGCTGCCAGGTGCATATGGACTATACATTGTGAATATAAATCTTACCTCACAGCTTTCATAATTGTTTATCCAAGAGTCTCCTTCCCTAGACCTTTATCCTTAGGGGAGATGTCACATATATGTTGTAGCCTGCTGACCTCTATGCTATCAGCCAGAGACCACACTCTAGGTTTTTTAGCTATAGAACTCACTCTCATGGTCACATGTCCTTTCCATAGAAGTTTCTATGTAGTCACACCTTACGCTTTATTGTGTACCCGGAATTGAAATGATTATTACCTGGAAACCTGGAATGGGAATGGTTGATGTGTTTTAAATATGCTGACAATGAATCACCTGGCATTAGACTCCCCAAAGACTGAGCCAAGATGACAAAGCCAACTGATAACTGCATGGCCCCCTTCACCTACTTGGCTGTGGTTCTACCTCCCTGTCTAGTGATCCTCTTTCCTCATTCATCCTTTCATTCTACATCCAGCACCAGGCCTGGGAACCCAGCAGTGAAGGGGAGTTTTCACAGTTGGGAGTTATAAGCAAAAACTTCTCCAACTCAGCACTGAGCTAGAAGCCTATTGGGAACTGCAGAGAGGCCCACAGTGTGTAGAGACCCTGAAGGGCTGCACTGAGCATGGTGTAGCAGTGACTGTGTGACAGCTGCAAACCCAACACTCCAAAGGAAGGAAGGCTCTGAGCCACTACCTGCACAAGATGCCTGTGTGCGTGCTCATAAGAGGGTAGTGCTCCCTCCCCAATCAGTTCTGTGTCAAACAGCTCCGTGACCAGGATGTTAGCACGGCATGGCAAGTCACCATCTGAAAACAAGTGAATAGAGTCAGAAACATGCAACAGACGCACACAAATACACATCATTTAAAATAAATCTTAAAGAAAAATAAAAAGGGTCATGACATTGAGAGCAGATCCACATGTTGAATTATCTGGAAATATGTCTGCAACTCACTTTCCAGTGGTTCAAGAGAAAAAAAAAAAGTTGATATGGCAACAATGGGGTCAGGAAATAGGGCCTCTTGCACTACTCTTTCTGGCTTCTTTTTGTTTGGTTGTTTTTGTTTTGTTTTTTTTTCCAGACAGGGTTTCTCTGTGTAATAGCCCTGGCTGCCCTAGAACTCACTCTGTAGACCAGGCTGGCCTCAAACTCAAGAGATCCACCTGCCTCTGCCTCTCAAGTGCTGGGATTAAAGGTGAGTTCCACCCCCAGCCTGCCTGCACCTCTCTTTCAACAATCCACTGTGTTTGAGAACGGAGGAAATGGCAGGAGGTGGTAGCCACACAGAGAAACCCTGTCTCAAAAAAAAGGAAGAGAAAAAAATAATTAGGGAAAACTAATACCTTAGAGAACAAAGAGCCTATAAATGCCAAAATGAAAACAGGAGGAAAATACAGTTTCAGAGGAAATAGGAAATTAGTTAGATGAAAATTTTTTCATCCTTACTAGCAAATGAAAAGCCAAAACTGAATGAATGCTCGTGCTTCAAGGCTACAGAAAGGTCAGAAAATCAAAGCAAGAGAAGGCTGATGTATAACTCTGCAGTTATTGTAAGCTCAGCCACGCAAGCTGAGACCCATGACTTACAACTCCAGATTCTTTCTGTCAAATTCTCTTAATTAAGTTGGTGTCTTGCTACCAAGTGGTCTTCTGAATACCAGCTGTTTAGGAAAACTGGGGCTTTAAGGAGTTCTTTTGTCAACTGTTTTCTAAACCTCTAAAATAGGTTACTGCTGTAATTATAATTTTTAATGAGCCAGTAGACTTTGGAAAGAGCTATTTCTCATGGAGAATGAACTGTAAACATTTCTAATGGCTCATGAATTACATCTGACAAAGCCCACTCATATTCTCTAGACAGAGGACAAATTTCACAGCTGGCACTGATGAAGAGAAGCACTGGTGTGGGTTAGAGTATGAATGCAGTAAAGGGTTGAGCCTGGAGACTTGTGTTCTAACCATCAAGTTAGTCACCTCAACTGTAAACTGAAGGGGCAGAACAAAGGTTAGAAAAGCACCTCTCCTCTGTTGCACACATGGGCCCATTTTACTTACATATCTAGCAAGTAAAATGCAAGTTAAGAGCAAATGCCATCTCTTGGCTTAGAAACCGTGTCCATTCTCTCTAATGGCCCCATCCCACCAGCACACACTTGCTTCCCTCTGCCTTAGAGCAGCTCTGTCACCACGCACAAAAAGGAGCACCATCTGATAGGGCTAGGACTGCCCCACTCCCCACTACACATCAATGCCTACAACAATGCCTTATAACAGCATTATAATCAGCAAACACCAGCTTAATTCTTGATTTTTCCTTGTCAATCATCATCAAACCTTGTCAATTCTACCCTCTAAATAAATTTTAAGGTGATCGTGTGACTTGAAATGATTTATATTCCATGTTTGTTTCATTAAAATAAAAATAAAGCTTTATGACCCAGTGAATTTTAGTAAGTACTTTTAGAGCCTGGTATTTATCAAGTGAGTCTGAATTTATGAGGAGGTGGTAGTAGAGGAGCCTGAAAAAAGGGCAGTTACACCATATGTGTCCTAATTTATCACATGAATGCAATGGATAGTTGAACAACTGCTGCCACACATACTCAGGGTAATCCATTTCTGAGGAACAGGCTCCAAACTAAGACGTTAATTTTTAGGGCCTCAGAACAGACCCTTGGGGAACTCACATTTGGAATTAGAAAGAAAGTAATAAAGTAACAAAAGTATATAGACTAATCCTAACATTCGGTAGCCGTACATAGTGAAATCCAGGCTAACCCAGGCTTACAGAGTAGACCCATCCTCAATAAGCAAAAACAAAAAGAGAAAAGAGAACCAAAATCAGAAGGCGCAACTGGGAACTGGAAAGAGTTCAGGAGAAACAGAATGCAGAAGTCCCAACACTGTGGCAGCTACAGAGGGGAAACAGAGGAAGGCTGCTAAATTGGCTGAGCATGGTGGCACACACCTTCAATCCCAGTGAGGGACAATTCTGGAGTTTTAGTTTCTCTAAAAACCACAAATATTATAAGGATATGTTTTCATTTTAATCCCAGGTATGGGAACATGGACTGCTTCGGACTGTTTGTAGCAGCTGACTATGCAGCTGACTATGAAATCATTCAACCTGAAATGACTTACAATTCGTTTGTTTCGTGCGCTAGCAGAGGCATGATTTTGCCACCTGCAGGTAGTTTCTGTGATTGTGTGACATTTGGAATTCTGGGAACTTCTTGGAGAGTATGTAAATGCTAGAGCTGTGGTAGGCAGAGGGTGGGGGTGTTGTTGGTCATTTAGGGAGGCTGGTTGTGGTTTGTTAGTAGTAGTGCTCAAAAAAGAAACGAAAAGAAATTAGATTAGTGATCTCTCTCTCTCTCCTCTCTCCTTGTTTCTCTATATCGTGAAAGGGGTAAAATCAGGGGGCTAAAGGATAGGAAAAAAGAATCCATAAAGTAGCAAAGACTGGGCTACATCCCAGCACTTGGGAGGCAAAGGCAGGTGGATATCTGTGAGTTCCAGACCAACCAGGGCTACATAGTAAAATTGTCTTTGAAAGAGAGAGTGGGAAAGAGTTAAGAATTGTCAAAGCTGTCATTTGGGTCTATCTTACTCGCTGTTCGATTACTGTGAAGAGTCACCATAACCAAAAGCAACTCTTATAAAAGAAATTGGGGGCTTGCTTACATTTTTGGAGGTTTAGTCCATTGTTATCATGGCAGGGAGCATGACAACAGGCAGATATGGTGTTAGAGAAGTAGCTGAGAGCTACATCATGATGAGCAAGCAGGGAAAGTGAACGGAGGGCTAGGATGGGCTTTTGAAACATCAAAGCCCGACCCACAACCTCCTCTAATAAGGCCACACCTCCTAACCCTTCTAATCCTTTTTAATAGCATCACTCCCTGCTGACTATGCATTCAAATATATAAGCCTATGGGAACCACTCTTTTTCAAGGCATCAAAGGGGCATAGTGGCACAACATGGGATGCCGGAAGGAGCTCAAATTTGGAGCCAGCCTAGGTTATAAAGCAAGACCTTTCAAATGAATAGAAGGAAGAGAAGGAAGGAAGAAAGGGAAGGAAGGAAGAAGGACAAAAGGAAAGCAGGTTGGTTTGGAGTGTGGTGGTTTCAGTAAGAATGTCTCCTATAGGCTTAGATGTCTGAATACCATCTGTTTGGGTAGATGTAGGAGGTATGGCCTTGCTGGAAGAATTATGTCACTAGGGTGATCTTTGAGGTTTCAAAGCCATGTGCCATTCTCCGTTTGCTGTCTGCTTCCTGCTTGCTGTTCAAAATGTAAACTCTCAAGTTTGCTGCTCGACACAAAGCCTATTGCCAAGTTATGATGATAATGATAGACTATTATCCTACAGAAACTGTAAGCCCAAAAAACTCCTTCCTTCTAAAGCTACCTTGGTCATGGTGTTTCAAACCAGCAATAGAAAAGTAACTAATATGGCACACATATACAATGGCACACTGCTTATAACAAAAAAAAACAAAACAAAAAGAAAAAAAAAAAAAAAACCCCTCGACACAGAACTGTAATGAAAGTTTTGGTTCCTTTGTAAGCGCAGTTATGTCATGTAAATATATTTTTGTTTTAGTCCCAAGTGTGAGATTTTAGTTGAGCTATAGTTTGTCCACACCTGTTAACTGTCTCATGAGTGGTGTGGCTTCTGCCAGCTGGTAATAGCAGCATGGTCTAGGACTCTGAATGCTAAGAAAGCAAGGCACGGCCTGCGGTGTTGACATGTGGTGTGAAGCAGTGACCAGAGAGACAGACAGTGTGGCAGCTTGGAGCAGAAACAGTGGCTTGAGGAAGACTGCTGGCTGTGTCTGCGGTTGACAGAGATTGGTACAGAGTCCTGAAAGAACCCATTGACCCTAACAGCCAGGAGAAGTAAAGGGGCCCTCTCTCCCCACTAGTCTTCTCTCCTGTGTAGGGTTGGGAGGTTGAGGCCTAAACACACCAAATAAAGAAGAGTTTTAAAAATGAGCGCTACACAGAACAATGTGAGTGAACCTCAAGCTTTAAGCTGCTTTCAACCATCAAGAATGCTGACAAAGACCCAGAAATAGACACGCTGACATAGGAGGAAAAGCTCTCATGCCTCAAGCCTACACAAAGAATTACAAGCAACTAAGGAATGTTTGGGATGGGTGGGCTAATGGGTGAGGTGATAATCTTCATAAAGGAAGACATATCAATTGGGGGCCTCAAAGAATTTTGAATAGAAAGAGTAGCACAACAGGTCATTCTGAATGATGGTTTACTGTTTTAACAGCCTGTGAGAGACATTAGAACCTAAACTATGATGTTTAGTAGAGGTGAGAAGTATTAAATGGAAAACATATTTAGGAAGCAAAAGGAATGGTGTTTCAGCATAAGGAATTAAAAAGGGCACATCAAAGATTACTGACCGGTTTCAGGCTTCAGTGATTAGATGTATGATACTAAGTACCTACATGTGAGCAATAAAATAACAAGTTTCATTTAGGATATATTGATTTCTTTTTCTAGATGTCATTATTTAATTGATGCTTTTCTAAAGGCCACATGGATATTTTTAGAAAATTCTTTTTCTTTCTTTTTAAAGATTTATTTATTACACATAGAGTATTCTGTCTGCATGTACTTGCAGGCCAGAAGAGGGCACCAGATCTCATTATAGCAGCCACCATGTGGTTGCTGGGAATTGAACTCAGGACCTCTGGAAGAACAGCCAGTGCTCTTAACCTCTGAGCCATCTCTCCAGCCCCCATCCTTTTTTTTTTTTTTTTTTTTTTTTTGTATAAATGTATCAGCTAATATTATAAAAATTTCTGAGCTGAAGATAAGATTCTAACACCTTTATTAACTTATATGTTAAGAAAATTGGGCTGGCCAGCACATGCCTTTAATCCTAGCACTTGGGAGGCAAAGGCAGGTGGATCTCTGTAAACTTGAGGCCAGCCTGGTCTACAAAGCAAGTTCCAGGATAGCTAGGACTCTGTTACACAGAGAAACCCTGTCTTGAAAAACAAACAAAAAAAGGAAGGAATGAAGAAGGAAAGAAAACTGGGTTGCACATCATGGCACATGTCTTTAATTGCAGCACTTGAGAGACAGAGGCAAGCAGATACCTGTGAGTTCAAAGACAGCCTGCACTACATAGCAAGTTCCAGGACAGCCAGAGCTACATAGATCTTGTGAAAACTGGGTGTAGGGGCTTTAAGAGATGGATCAATAGTTAAAAACACTGGCTGTTTTTCCAGAGGAGCCAGATTCAACCCAAGCACTCATATAGTGACTAATTGTCTTTAACTTAGTTCCAGGAAGACATTGGTACCCTTTTTTGACCTCTTCAGGCATTGTTTTCAAATGGTGCATAGACTACATGCAGGCATACACATTAAAAAAATAAATAAATCTTAAAAAAAAAAAAAAAAAAAAGAAAATGGGCTTAGATGCCTTAAAAATAGTTAAGATGTTCCTTCTAAGAGCTGGCTCAGTCGGTGGCGTAAATCTAGAAACACCTGGGGAAAGGGAACCTCAACTGAGAATTTGCCTTGATCAGATTAGCCTGTATGCACTTTCTTGAGTGCTGATTGATGTGAAAGGGCCTAGCCCACTGTGAGCCTGGACTATGTAAGAAAGGTAGCTGAATGTGAGCCTGGAAACAAACCAGTAGTCAGCGTTCCTACATGGCTTCTGCTTCAAGTTCTTGCCACGAGTTCCTGTCTAGCCTTCCTTCAATAATGGGACGGACTATAAGACAAATAAATCCTTTCCTTCCCAGTTGCATTGGTCATAGTGTTTATCATAGTGACAGAAAAGCAACCAAGACAATGAGTAAAAAACACTTGCTATGAAAGAGAGGAGGTCCTGAGTTCAAATCCTTTCCACCCAGGTAAAGCTAAGCATATCCTTCCAGCACTGGGGAGACAGAGACAGATGGATCACAGGAGCTCATTGGACAACCAATCCATCTCAAAAAGCAAACTTGAGGTTCAGTGAAAAGAATAAGGTGGCAGTCAGGCAGGGTGGTACTCCCTTTTAACCCCAGCACCTAGGAGGCAGAGGCAGCACATCTCTACCAAGGCCAACCTTGTTTAGAGACTGTGTTCCAGGTCAGCAGAGCTACATAACGAGATCTTGTTTCAATCTAAAGGAAAAGAAAAGGAGCCGGGCATGGTGGTGCAGGCCTTTAAGCCTAGCACTTGGGAGGCAGAAGCAGGTGGATCTCTGAGTTTGAGGCCAGATTGGTCTACAAAATGAGTTCCAGGACAGCCAAAGCTACACAGAGAAAGAGGAACCCTGCCTTGAAAAACAAAACAAAACAAAATTAAAAGAAAAGGGAAAAGGTGGAGCGCAGTAAAAGACATCTGCAGTTTCCGAGTCCCTGAGCGCACACTCGTGCATGTGCCTGCACACATGGGCACATGCCCAGACACGGGGAAAGTGAGAACTTACTAAGCTCACTACAGACTGAAGAACAAGTGTTGAGAGAGAAAGAATGATGTTTAAGAAGAGAACAGCAAACACACTTGAGTGAGGGTACTGGCTTCTCAGGGGGCGCGTGTTTGTTTCTTTGTTGGGCCAGGTATGCTGTGCACAGCTCTAACCCCAGCACCAAGATGCAGAAACAGCTGGGTCTCTGTGAGCTTGAGGCCAATCTGATCTACAATTTGAGTTCCAGACCAGTCAAGGCTATGAGACAAGGCTATGACCAGTGAGACAATGTCTCAAAAAACAAGCAAACAACAAAAAGCATACATATACATAGTACACACATAAGTTAAAAAACAAATAAGAAAAAGGTTTAAAATAAGAAATAAAATAAAAAACAAATAAGAAAAATATGAAAGAGGTTTAAAAATGTTAGTTTGTTATTCCATCAACCTAACAAATCATAGTAATCACATTAAAGTTAGTTAGGAACTGGAGAGATGGCTCAGCAGTTAAGAGACCTGCTGTGTTTGCACAGGTCAGAACCCAGAACCCACATCACATCCATACTCTTTTGGCTTTGGTGGGTACCAGCACACAGTACATACACACAAGCTAATACAGACACACACACACACACACACACACACACACACACATTTTTTTTTTTAATCTTAAAAATAAAAAAAATTAAGCTGGGCAATGGTAGCGCACACCTTTAATCCCAGAGGCAGGAGGATCTCGCTGAGTCTGAGGCCAGCCTGGTCCACAGAGTAAATTCCAAGACAGCCAGGGCTACACAGAGAAGCCCTGTCTCAAAAACCAAACAAATAAAATAAAATATTTTAAAAGGCATTATACTAACAAGAGAGTGTTGGAGTGGAACTTAGGGTATACTACACAAAGCCCCAAGTTTGATCTCCAGATCTGAGGGAGAAAGCAAAACAAAACACAGAAGAGCATTCCCTGACAGACAATTTCATTTCCTTGATATTCTAGAAAAAGACGATCTAATTTACATGAAATAAAGAATAATATCAGTGAGTATGTGGCGACAGATTGTACAAGGGCCATAAGGGCTCTTTGGGTATTAACTCTTTGGGTTTCCACAGTGGTTACAAGTGTCCCTTGATTTGTCAAAATTCACCAACAATCATATGTTCTTGTTTTGTTTTTTGAGAGAGTCTTGTAAAGAGACTCTCTTGTGTACTATATGGAAGCATCTGATACCGATGGCCTAGCAGCTGAGGCAGGAAATAGGTGGTGGGAGTTCTGGCAGAGAGATGAACTCTGGAAAAAGAGTTCATTCGCCCTGAGGAAGAAGGACGCATGAAACTTAGGAGAGGTTAACAAACCATGTAGCAACACAGAATATAGTAAATGAGTAAAATGAGTATGAGCTAGTCAGAGAATGAACCAAAGCTTATGACCTAAGAATTTATTCCTAAGTAATGAAGTCTTAGAGTCCTTATTTCAGGAACTGGGGTGAGGATGGGAACATCTGTGGTTACAGACTCTTGCTATGTATCTGTAGTCTGTCTTAGTTTGGGCTTTATTGTTGGGAAGAGACACCATGACCAAGGCAACTCTTACAAAGGAAAACATTTCAATGGAGCTGGCTTACAGTTCCAGAGGTTTAGTCCATTATCAATCATGGTGAAAGCATGGCAGCCTGCAGGCAGGCTGGAGAAGGAGCTGAGAGTTCTAAATCTTTTTTGTTTTGGTTTGGTTTTTTCAAGACAGGGTTTCTCTGCAAAACAGAGCACTGGCTGTCCTGGAACTTGCTTTGTACCCTAAGCTGGCTTTGAACTCACAAAGATCTGGCCACCTGCCTCCCAAGGGCTGGGATCAAAGGTGATACAAATGTCTGTAATTCCAATAATCAGGAGGACCAAGCTACAGAGGGAGTTCAAGGCCAGCCTAGACTGTATTAGAGCCTGATGATAATGACAAAGTTAAAATAGTGACTTTAAATAGTCCTTCAATCCTAAAACACTGCATCTTACAAACTAGTGATGGGTATGGAGAACCACAGCTTGTCCTCCCCAAACACCTCAGCTGTGCTCCCCAAGTTTCAAAGAGCACGTGGAATTCCTAAGTTTCAAACACCTGACTACAGACTTTTCTTACTACCTTAGGTTTCACAAAAGTTCAGCTACTCAAGAATTCCAACATGCTTAGAGCAAAGAGCTCCTTTCCTGTGTGTGACTGACTGCCGTGACACTAATTAGCTCTAATTTTCACGAAATGCTTCCCACAACACGTGGAATGGCGCTCACCTGGTCCAACTGTCACCTCAGTGGAATGCTTGTTAATAACTTTAATCTTATCACTGAAGCCATTTTTCTCCACAATCTTCACAGCAGCATCAGCCATGGGCTTAAAAACCTGTAAGTTAGAGAAGGGGGTGAGAGAAAGAGAAGACAAGGAAGAAAAATGAGCAATGTGCCATTTAAAAACATCTTACCTCTCAAAGACTCAGAGCTAGCAGGACAGTACCCGACTCAGGTGAGGCTAAGAATGTTTTAGTCTCCAAATGTGTGTCATGAAAATGAACATAAAAGGATAGAATTCAGCCATGTGTGGTGGCACGAGGGTAAGACAGGACAATTATCATGAGTTATAGGCAAGCCTGAGCTTCAGAGTGAAACCCTGTCTCAACAGCCTCCACCTGCACACATAAAAACAATCAAACAAACAATTAAATAAGTTAAATTTCAAGGTACTATTTACAAGTTCCCATTGCATGCCAAGTAAGCAAAAATGAAGAAATCTTGCACTACCTAGTAGAGGCAGTAGGTGTCACTGTTAGGCTAAAGATGCTAAGAGAAGAGCTGTTCTCACAAACTGGGATTATGCACTTTAATTTCCAGAGATAAGGGAGACTATAACTGTGTTAAAGTGTGGCCAGGTCACCTTCATGTTCAGAACTGACTCAGACCAAAAGTACAGCCTGTATTTCCTTTTGATATTTGGAACTCTCCACAATGTAGACCATTTTACTCTCCCAGAACCCCCCTTTTTAACCCATATGGTCCTCCCCAGTATTCATAGGCAGGTGTGAACTCTCCTACCCCACATCTGCCAAATTAAATCCAGCTGGAAGCTGGGAAAATGGCAATCCATGCCTGGAATGGAAGCACTTGGGAAGTGTAGATAGATCAGCCAGCCTAGCTAAACAGTCTGAGGCCAGCCTGGGCTACACAGGACCCTTGTATAAAGCAATGTGTCTAAAGCAAACACACAAACACAAACCACAGGGAAATACAAAGTTTTTCCTCCAGAACTTATGAGACCCCTCAAGCCCTTCACCAGTCCCTCTAACCCTGACTTTTCAACTTGCCTAATCTGGATGTCACAACTCTAATCCATAAAAATACAGAAACTCTCATAAATACAAAGTGGAAACAAAAATAAATGATAGGAGATTTTCATTTTTTTTCTAAGTCATTTTCTATATTTTCTACCATAAAAATGATTTTGATATCACGGAAAATTCCATATTCTTTTGTGAAGACTGTATCAGCTGGGGGAAAACAATTATTTCTAAAACGTTGCATTTTTTTTTTTTAATGTGGTCTCTGGGCTTAAACCCTCAATCCTCATCAATCACTTTATCTGAGCCTTTAAAATTACCACAAACTCAGTGTGATCCTCTTTTTGCTGCCTTTGATCTATCAACTCGGCCCCTTCCCTAAGCCTTCCTGCTCTGACCATTCACAGCCTCTCTGTCCTCAGCCAAGCAAGAAGCTCAAGCTCTCACAGGGCTGGAGAGACAGCTCAGCCAGTGGTGTTTGATGTCACTTTTACTCGTCATTTGCCAATATGGTATCAGTTGAAAAGTGCATATCTGGATTTGACTGGCCTGTGAACATGCCTGAGAGAGATTTTCTTAATTAGGTGAACTGACCCACCCTGAATTCTGAGCAGCATCATTTCATGGGCTAGGTCCAGGATTGAACGAAAAAGAGAAAGCCAGCTGACCTGCATGCATAATTCATTACTTTTGGCTCCTGACTGAGAATATAAATCAACTAGCTCCTTCAAGTTCCTGACACCCTGCCTTCTTCCCAGTGATAAACTATAACCTGGAATTATGAACACATAAACCTTTTATCCTTAAATTGCTTTTGTCAAAGTATTTTATCACAGCAGCTAAAATAAAACTAAGGCACCGGCGTAAGTGTGACGTGAAGACCAGAGTTCAGAATCCCACCATCTGTGTAAATGCTATGCAGCAGTCCCTCTGTAATCCCAGACCAGCTGGCTGAGAGCAAATGCTTAGCTAGACAAGCTGGACTGGTAGCTATGAGTTCAAGTGGCTCTATATCAGTATTTAAGGTGGGGACTGACTTAAGAAGACACCAGTATCAGCCTTTGGCCTCCACATGCAAGCACCCACCTACACACAAGCAGGCACACCTAATCAAACACACAATGCTCACACCCCAAGCATGAACAATGAAGACAACTTCCCAAACATCCACTACTCCCTGCCTCAGAAGAGGAGCAGTGGTACAGTATGGGAACTGGCCTGCTTTAAAGTGATGAAACCACCTGGCTTGGGGGGAACTAAATCCCCTTTGTCAATTATTTTGGCCAACTGTAGATACAAGGAGAGGTTTGCCAGAAATTTCTAGGAAAAGTTTGCTTGCTTTTAAAAGAGTAAATTAGAATCACATTTTCCTGTCTGATGTACCCCAATGGGTCTTTAGCAGCTTTTCTACAGCCAGTAGAGGTACAAGCCCTAGAAGAAAGGCAGTATGTCAACAGAATAAGAAAGATTCACTAGAACAATAAGAAAGATTCATACAGGCAGAAGAGATAGCTAAGGAGATAAAGAGTACTAACTACTTTACAGAAACCTAGAATTCCGTTTCCAGCACCCACAGTGGTCAGCTTAAAAGCAGGTATAACTCGATCTGGTGCCCTCTTCTGGTCTGAGGGCACCAACATGGAGGCACGTGTGCATGCACACACACAAACTCTTTGAAATAAAATTGGGGCTGGTGAGATAGGCTTAAAAGCACATATTGCTCTTCCAGGGACACATATGTACACGCTAGATTAGAGGATTTAACACCCTCTTCTGGCTTCCATGTGTACCTGTACTCATATATGCTCATACATACAATTAGTCAAAAATAAAATGCTGAAAAAATTATTTTAAAAGTCACTAATGAGCCAGGCAGTGGTGGCACACTCCTTTAACCCTAGCACTCAGAAGGCAGAAGAAGGCAGATCTCTATGTTCAAGGACAGCATGGCCTACAGAACAAGTTCTAGGATAGGGCTAAACAGAGAAACAAAACAAAAATAAACCAATAAAAGTCATTAATAATCTCCTATTGCCAATTCAACAACGGTTACTCCTCACTCAGCTAAACCTTTATACCTACCTATACTGTCCAACATATAAGCAACATGTAGCTGACTAAAATGGGATGAAGTAAAAACTTCATTCCTCAAGTGATTGGTACGTGCAGTGGTTTAACTAAGAATGGCTCCCACAGGCTCATATATTTGAATGCATACTGACCAGAAAGTAGTTTTGAAAGGATTAGGATTAGAAGGTGTGGCCTTGTTGGAGGGGTATGTCACTAGGGGGTGGGCTTTGAGGTTTCAAAAGCCCAAACCAGGCCCAGTCTCTCTCTGTTTGCCAAACTGGGATGTAGCTCTCAAGGTACTTCTTTAGCACCTCACCTGCTTGCTACCATTCTCTCTGCCATGATGATACTGTAAGGAAGCCTCCAGTTAAACGCTCTCCTTTACAAAAGTTGCCTTGGTCATGGTGTCCCCTCACAGCAACAGCGACTAAGTAAGACAGTAACCTCGACCACCTAGGGCCCATTGTATCAAACAACACCACGGGTAACAGGGATGTCTTCTCATATACACCTCCCTTCCAAGGTTCCCATGAATCTGCTCTGCTGGCTTCCACAGTACACTTCCCTCTGGGGTCATTCCGTCTGCCTAAACTTGGCTATACTGGCCACATTTCCTTAACCATTGAAAGTAAGCACGTTTCCAAGTTTAGCTCTTCTCTTTTCCCTCCCTGAGCAACCACACTGCTAACTTTACCAGTTAGATGTTAGCCAGTGAGTACCAAGTCCACCTGTATATACCCTTTTATGTGTTAGAACAGAACCAGAGGCCTGCCTTCAGGCCTAACTCCTATTTTTGTCAGTGATGAAGAACAAGCTTCCTGCATGCTAGGCAAGTATTATGCTAATGAGCAACTCTCCAGCCCTTCTTTTGCTTACTGACTGTAGGACTTCAATCCTGACCAATCCTGAGTCCTAGTCCCTTCATTTGTAAGACAGGGATAACAAAATTTACTTTGAAGCCATCAGGGCAGTCGTTCTAAAATATAAGCTTCTTCATATCTGCTCAAACACCTTGGTAATTTTTTTTTTTTTTTTTTTTGGTGTTGTTTGCTTATTATTTTTTTTTTTTTAATTCAGCTCATGTAGCCCAGGGTGGCCTTAAATTCCTGAATCATCCTGCATCTTTCTCCCAAGTTCGAGGATTACAAGCAAGCACTACTATGCCCAGTTTAAATATCATTATTTCATTTTCCTTTATAGCTGTGTAAAGTTCCATTACGTGTGTGCAAGCACACAACTGACTCCATGATGAAAATACCATTCAGGCTGTAAAACTCAGCATGTATACTGTACCATCTGCCAAACAAAAACAAAGACCTAATCTGTGGAGTGCTATTTGTCGGTCAAGCTCCTTTGTTATTGAGTATTTGACAAAAAACATGTTTTCACACTGGCCTTCACCTTGAGACAGAGATAAGAGGATGTTATGCCAAGTTCCTTAAAACTTGTTTGTGTAACCTTGGACCATATTTGCTACAGGGAAGTAGTTTAAGAAAACAAGTTTGGCAGTTCCATGAACTTCTTGTATTGATGTGACTTGTTTTTGCTTTGCCCAGAGAAAGGAATTGTGGAATAAACTCTCTGCTGCAGTTGTCCTGACAGCCCTCTGGAGCTGATCCCATGTGTAGTGTGATTTGCTTTAATTATTTCAATCCTCACTCCCCAGTCAGGTACTATTCGACTGCTGGTGGGCTCTGGCACTAAGCCATTAAAGTCCATAGTTCTGGGATGTCTCTAAATTTTGCTTTTTGGCTTCTGTGGCTCTACTTCTACGTAACTGTTCTTATTAACTAAAGTATGCAAACCCAGGACATGGTTTTTGTGCCTACAAGCACAAGAAAGGCTCAGGGCTATCCTGGAATCTTGAACACCCAATAAAGACTTTCTACTGGCTTAAATCCACATCCAAGCAGTCTTCTCTGGTAGACAGTCCACTTTTAACTGCTTAGCTATCTATCCAGCTCCTAAAAACATTCTTTTTTAATTAACATGCATTTTATTTATTGTTTGTTTGTTCATTTTTTTGGGACAAGATCTATTTAACCCTGGCTGTTCTGAAACTCCATATGTAGACCAGCCAGGCTTTGAACTCAGAGATCGTTCTGCTTTTGTTTCCCATGTGCTGGGATTGAATGTATGGGCTACCATTCTCAGTCTACTCATTTTATGTTTGAATGTTTTGCCTGCATATAGGTGCACCATGTGCATGCTTGGTATCTATGGAAGTAAAGGGGGGCACCGGAGCCCCTGAACTGAAATCATGGATGGTTGTGAACCACCATGTGGGTACTGAGAATTGAACTCTGTAGGAACAAATGTTCTTGACTTTTGAGCTACCTATCCAGCCACAAATAGGTTATTCTTGGTTGGTCTGTTGATTTTTTCTTTTTCTTTCTTTTTTTTTCTTTTTTTTTTTTTTTTTCAGAGACAGGGTTTCACTGTGTCGCCTTGGCTGTCCTAGACTCACTTTGTAGACCAGGCTGGCCTCAAATTCACAGCCATCTGCCTGCCTCTGCCTCCCTAAGTGTTGGGATTACAGGTGTGTGACACGGCACCCAGAAAGTGGGTTATTCTTATCTCACATTAAGTATATGTAACTCAGGCCAGGTCCACTGGCACATGCTTTTAAATTATGTGCATGTGTGTGTGTCTCTGTGCAGATTATACATGTGAGCACCAGGACCATAGAACCCTCCAGCTCCCTGGAACTGGAATTTGTGAGCTGGCAGCTAGAGGTGCTGGCTCTCTACAAGAGCAATACAAGTTTTAACCATGAGCTATCTCTTCAGTCTGCACTCATCTTTTAAAGAAATCGATATAAGCTGCATGTGGTGGCACACAGCTTTCATCCCAACACTGAGGTTGTGGGCAGAAGCAGGCTCTGTGAGTTTTGGGGCCAGACTGTTCTACATAGTGAGTTCCAGGACAGCTATGTAGAAAACCAGTCTCAAACAAACAAATAAATGAATACTATTTTTATTACTGTGTGGATGTGATGATGTGCATGTTTAAGTACGTATGTGCCATAGAGTGCATGTGGAGGTCTTCTCTTTTTCCATTGTGAGATCCAGGGGTCAAATCCATTTATCGAACCTTCCCACTTGGAGATTATGGCCCCAAGACAGTGATAACAGGGCAGCTAGAAGGAGCTGAAGTAGAATACATTCTACTGCTGACCTCAGGACTATGTGAGCAAACTTTTATCTTATTTAAGTTACTGCTTTATTCATTTACCACATTCCCTCTTATAATGTATACTATTTACATTATCATAAAAATAACATGTTTAATGTTTTATTAAAGAAATGGTAAGGATAACAAGTTGGCTCAGTGGGTAAGGGAGCCTGCTGCAGAGCATGATAAGTTGACCCGAATTTAATCCCTGAGACCTGCATGGTGAAGGAGAAAGCAAACTTCAAAAGTTATCCTCTGACTACCACACAAATGCTACCTCCATACAAAATAAATACATAAAATCGTGATAAAAAACATTAAGGGTATGGCGGTAGACACCTTTTTAAGTCCTAGCACTTGGAAGATAGAGAAAGTGTATGTCTATAAATTAAAGGCCAATCTGGTTTACATAGTGAGTTCTAGGACAGCCAGAGACATGTAGGTAGACCTTGTTTAAAACAAACAAACAAACAAACAAACAAAAAACAGGCACATGCCTTTAATCTCAGTACTCAGGAGGCAGAGGCAGATGGATCTCTGAGTTTGAGGCCAGCCTGGTCTACAGAGTGACAGCCAGGGCTATGGAGAGAAACCCTGTCTCAAAAAACAAAAAACAAACAAACAAAAAAGACAGGCCTAATGGCACATGCCATTTATTCCAGCACTTGGGAGGCAGAGGTAGTAGCATCTCTGGGAGTTTGAGTCTAGCCTGGCCTATATATCAAACTCCAGGACAATACAGAGGGACTATGTCTTTAAATAAAACAAACAAACAAAAAAAGAAAAACAGAGAAAGAGCGTCAGAATGTAAAAAACAGCTAGTTCTATAGGAACACTTAATCTTGTTGCACATTTAAAAATTCCAATGTCAGGTCACATTCCAGAAAAATTCAGTAAAATATTAATTAATTTTAATAGACTGGGCACAGTGGCACACGCCTGTAATACCAGCACTCAGGGAGAAAGATATAGGCAGATCTCTGTGAGTTCGAGGCTAGCTGGTCTACAAAGTGAGCCCAGGATAGCCAGAGCTACACAGAAAAACCCTGTCTCACAAAAACAGAAAACAAACAAACAAAAAATTAATCTGATATTATTTTAAGACAGTGTCTGTGGTAGCTCAGATTGGGCAAGACCTGTCAGAGGCCCAGGATGACCCTAAAACCCAATTTCGACAGTTCTACTTCTGGAGAGTCAATATGCCAGTTTATGTATTGCTAGCAATCGAATCCAGGTCTACATGCTAGATTGATACTCTCGAGACTCAACTACATCGCCAACAAAAACTTTAATGGAAATCTCAGCAGGAAGCAGAAGCATTACTTTAAAAATGTTTTTAGATTTTTTTTTATGTGTATAACTGTTTTGTCTGCACATATGTATATGTAATATATGAATGCCTGGTGCCTGAGGAGGTATGAAGAGGCTATCCTCTGGAACTAGAGTTAAAAACGGTTGTAAGCTACCATGTGGGTACAGGGAATCAAATCTGGGTCCTCTGCAAGAACAGACAGTGTTCTTAACCACTGAGCCATCTTTCCAGCCCACGTAACTATTTTTTAAAGTTCCTCAGGGAGTCTGACACAGCCTACTCTGAGAATCACTGTTTCAAAGTGGGGAAGAAGAGGGGAACCTCCTGAAGAGAGGAGCCCTGTCTGAGTCATCTTCTATGTGTGAAGAAGTCAGTTATGTACTCATCATTGTTTGTCAGCAGACTGAGAAAACCCAAGGACTTAAAGGCCTCCCCATGTAAGACACAGGATACACACCCAAACAGTATGGCTTACCTCGATAGCATAGCAGAAGTCAGCTCCTGCAGTAACTGCCATCATTGACAGGAGACCTGTGCCAGTGCCAATGTCAAGAACCAAGGCCTTTTGTCCTTTGTCTTTTATCCTACTCACAGCTGCCCGGATACCCTGGTAATATTTTATATTCTGAGAGAAAGGAAAAAATAACTGTCACGTCTCTTGTTATTGTAAGTAAGTGAAAAGGTGCTCTATAGAACTGGGGTCATGGTTGGCAGCACCAGGTAAAGAAATGACCCTACGTCCTTTCTAAGCCCTAGATGTCAGCACTTGCTAGCTAAGCTACACATTTATAGGTTCCATGATCACTGAGTCAGCCTCCTGCCCTGTATTAAGTGATTTTCTCTGCTATACTCTTCTTTTCTGTTTAGGAATGCTGGCAAGACTGTAAACCATTGCTGCTAGGTATAGACAATAAAGAAATGAAGAGGATTAAAGGCAGGTAGGAGCAGGGAGAAAGTATGCTTGTTCTTCCTGTAGGAATGCAGTTCTGATCAGGTCCCTTTTAGAAATGGCGGCTGGTTCTAGGCCCTCTTCTCCCAGTGCCCACAAGCAGCCTCCTCTGGTGCCTCAGAGCAGCACCAACCCCCAAGCACTGATCCATCTGAGAGGTGAAAGTGCCCACCCACCGCCCTCCTTGCCAACTGGTACTTCTGTCAGTCCTAGCCCAGGATTTGTACCTGCAGCTAAGTTCGTTACGTTCTCCCTGAATACCCCTCTAAACCTGGCTCTTCTGCAGTGCTCTTAACCACTGAGCTATCTCTATAATAAATAATTTTAACATTGTTTACACATTTATTTATTTGTGTGGGCTGGGGAATGCACATGCATGCACATGTGCACACAAAGGACATATGTGTACATAAAAGACGATTTGCAGTAGTCAGTTCTCTCCTTCTACCATGCAGGTTCTAGGGACTGAACTGAGGTTGTCAGGTTTGGGTTTTGTTGTTGCTGTTGTTAGTTTGTTTCTAAGTTTAGAATACCACATGTCGATTTCTTTTTCCAGTGCTGGGTGTCACCTAGGACCTCACATATGCTAGGGAAGTATTCTACTGAGCTATATACCAGTCTCTAAAATAACAAATGCTGACAAAAATGTGAAGAAACTAGGAATCTCATACATAATGGGAACATAACTTACATATGCATCCTAAAAAAGTTCTCAACAATTTCTTAAAATGTCAAGCATACACTTACCAGGGGCTAGAACCATGGCTCATCAGTTAAGAGCACTTATGACTTTTGTGGAAGACCTAATTTAATTGCTAGCATCCACATGGCAGCTCACACAGTCAGACTGTGGGCTGTCACGTAGAGGAATGAGAAGAGGCACTCAACAAAGTAAATGATGGCTGAGCAAAATGATTTGCAGTTGGAAGATCAGTATAATCTTTTTTTTTTTTTTCTTTCCTGAGACAGGGTTTCTCTGTGTAGCCTCAGCTGTTGTGGGCTCGATTTGTAGTCTAGACTGGCCTCAAACTCACAGAGATCCACCTGCCTTTGCCTCCTTGAATGCTGGGATTAAAGGCATGCGCCACCTCACCCGGCTAGATCAGTAGAATTTGATGTCAGGTTTCATGCTCACAAAAAAGGGGGAGCTACCTTTATGGCTTGGCTGACTGGAATGTCATTTGGCCAACTTCCCTCTGAAGTAAGAAAGACCCTTTTCTATATAGGTCACATAAAATCAGAAAATCTCATAAACTCAATACTACAATAATAAGATGAGAATATTTGTTATGCAAGCATGTAAATGACAGGTTATAAGTAGTTTGATTTAATCATTTCAAAATGTGTGTACATGTACATATGCACACACACATTACAATGTACCAATAAATAGACATTTAACTGGTAATTAGACTGTATACCAGGGTAGCTATGCACATGCCTGCTTCCATGTGTGCCTATGCAGAAGACAGACAGTGGGCTTCCGTGGTATTTGAAACCATGTCTCTCAGAGACCATCAAGCGACTAGCTCAGGTAGGCTGGCTGGCCAGCACGTCCTCAGTCTGCTGTCTCTGCCACCCCTGCTGGGGTTAGACACTGCTTTGTCCAGCTTTTACATAGGTACTAGGGATCCACATTCAGGGCCTTATGCTTATGAACACCAAGTATTTTATCCACGGAGCCATCTACACAGTTCTTGCACCTTAATAAAGCTGAGGGGGAGAAAAACGGAGCCAGAGGCAAAACCCAACATCCATAAAAATTTTCTATTATACCAAACATCTCTCAGTATCACTGAACATCCTGATTCCTGAGGAGTTTCTGACCTTAAAAATCTAAGATTCCAAATACCACATCAAGACTATGGTTTCCATCAGTCATGGTTATGCACACCTTTAATCCTGACACTCAGAAAGTGGGGAATGGTGGCATCTCCAAGCTGAAGGTTAGCCTGGCCTACTATAGGAAGTTCCTGGCTAGCCAGGGCTAGCCAGTGAGACCCTGTCTTACAACATGGCTTACTTTACACTTACTCTGTCTTTGTCATGCAGCATATCGGCATAGGACGACCTTAAAAGATAAAAATAGAAAAGGTAAGTCGGAAACCTTTGCTAATATAGATACAAACAAAAAGTGTTCCCACCCATAAATGCAGTCCTCAATTGGATCCAACAAGTGTGTTATCCACTTTGAAACAGCTTTTAATTTAAAAAATTATTTTATTTTATGTGCATTGGTATTTTGCCTGCATGTGTATCAGAGTAAGGGTGTCAGATCTTGGAGTTACAGACAGTTCTGAGTTGCCTTGTGGTTGCTGGGAATTGAACTTGGGTCCCTGGAAGTGCTCTTAACCACTGAGTCATCTCACTGGCCCTCATTTTAAAATATTTTAATAGTCTGGTATGGTGGCTCAAGTCTGTAATCTCAAGTATTTCAAAACTGAGAAAAAGAATGAGTTTAAGGCCAGTCTGGATTATATAGCAAAAAAGTCTCAAAAAAAACCCCAAAACTTTTAAAACAGGGCATGCTATCACTCACCTTTATTCCCAGGCCTTTGAAGGTGGAAGCATGTGGATCTCTGAGTTTGAGGCCAGCCTAGTCTACATAATGATACTTTGTCTCAAATAAATAAATAAATAAATAAATAAATAAATAAATAAATAAATAAATAAATAAATAAACAAACATGTGTGTGTGTGTATATATATATACATATATACATACATATATATATAAAATATTTGCCTCCTTGGGGCAGGGAATACACGTACCGTGGCGCATGTGTGAAGGTCAGAAGACAGTTTTGTGGAAGTTGGTGCTCTCCTTCTACCATGTGAGTTCCAAGGACTGAGCTCAAGTCTTCAGGCTTGGCAGCAAGTACCTGTGCCCACTGAGCCATCTTGTCAGCCCTCAAAATTTATTTTAGTATGATCAGTAACTGCCATTCTCTGCTTTTGCAAAAAATCCCCTCAGAGAAAATGTTCTTCTCAGACCCCAAAATGCTCTAGTAGTTACCCTAGAGGAGTAATTTGTGTCTATTTATGTGTGTGCTTCTGGAGGTCAAAGGACAATTTGCAAGAGTCAGTTTCTTCTTTCCACATTTACATGCGCCCTGGGGATCGAGCTCAGGTTGTTAGTGTTGGTGGCAAACACCTTTAACCTGCTGATCCATTTTACTGGTCCACCATACTTAGTCTAAAACAGTAACCTATAACCATAAACATACTCATCATATTATAACACTCAATAATCCCAACATGTGATGTAACTTTGAATAATACATGTGTACCTTAGAACTACCCCATACATCCACACTAGAGAGAGGAACCTGGAAAGAGAGAGCATACAGCTGTTCTCCTTTCTAAAGAATGAAATCTCCCTGAGTATGTGAGGGTCACCATGCTCAGAGGTTCATATCACATCAGGGGAAGCTGATTGGCTAAATACAGTAAGTACAGGGAAAGAAGTCACATCCATATTTTCTATTTGCCTCTGAACCACCTACAGTCCTTCCTGTGCTTGCTTTATTCCCAAATTTAGGAGGGGCTAGGGTTGCCACTCAGTGATAGAGTATTTACTTGCCTAGATGCTTTAAATGAGGACGAGGGTATAATCCTCAGAATCCTGACTTCAGTCTCTGTTTGTCCCATTGTACTGATTAGTTTTTTGTCTGTCTTGCTTTTGAGTCAGGGTCTCAACTCTGTAGCTCAACTGGGCTAGAACTCAATACTGAGTGTTCCTTGAAGAACGCTCTGTCTCCCAAGTGCTGGGACTAAAGGCATGTGGCACCTCACCCCGAACTGGACTAAAGGGATGGGCCACCATGCCCTGAACTGGACCGGTTAATTTTACCTGTCAACTTGATTATAAGCGAGAAACACCTGAAAAGGAAACCTGAGTGAAGAATTATCTAGATTAGGCTGGCCTCTGGATATTCTGTGGGGCATGCATTGCCTTAGAATCACCTGAGTAGCTGCCCCTGAAGAATTTTCCTGATTGCCTTGGATGAGGTGGGAAGATGCACCCAGACTGTGGTGGCACCGTCTGGTAGCAGACAGATGAAAAAGGGCATTTCAGAAGGAAATGCCTGCTTGCTTGGCCTTCCTTCTTGCCAGTGAGTAAATTTGCTCTGTTGCTCCTGCTGCTGCTTCATTCTCTGACAGCAAAGTTTCATGGTGGAACAGGCACCAAAGACTCTCTGGGCTCCAGGTGTCAGACTAGGACTGCTGAGGCACCGCACCTTGTGGACTAAGTAATTATCGGTCATAGCCCCCCAAGTAAGTGACAGCTGTTCTGGGATCCTCTAGCTCCCGAGGTTCCACAGTTAGGTGTGTTTTCCCACCTCAGCCAAGGCAATCAGGAAAATCAGCAATCAGGGGCAGCAACTAGGGGTTTCTAATTGTGACAAGTTAAAGTTAAAACCAACCATAACAAACAGGCAGCCAGGCCTAGTTGCATTGTCTACAGGTAATTTTCATCAATTTCCAGTTTACTCTACTAGTACTTCCTTTTGTAAAAAAAAAAAAAAAAATAACACATTTCACGCTATTTCTGAAACAAAGTGGTATAATTATACAATTGCTTTTTTTCAATGTAATATATTGTGACGATCACTCTACCAGTGGAGAACGGAATGAAAATAAAGAGCTTTCCATTTTCCCAATTGCATTGTGGTCCTCTATATAGATAGAACACAGGTTTGCCTAATAATGTTGATAGACATGTTATTTTCAATGTTTTGCTATTTCTGACCGAGAATAAAACCAACCAAGCTAAGAATAAAGAAAAATACATTTATTTGGTGCTAATTAGAATTGCAACCTCAGATAAATTCATGCACTGCTGAAGCAGTGCTCCCTACCCACTTTGTATGCTGTGTGAACATTCATGCATGTATGGGTACACAAGCAAACGTTGTACAAGCATGTGAAAACTGGAGGAAAATCTCCAGTCATCCCCTCGAATACCATCCATTTCCTTTCACTGACCTAGAGCTCACTAATTAGACAAGACTAGCTGACTAGCAAGCCTCAGGGTTCCTGTCTCCACTTCCTAGTGCTGAGATTAGAAGCAGGTTTCATCACACACTTTTGTTTTGTGTTGTTTTTCCTTTGGTTTTCAAGACAGGTTTTCTCTGTGTAGCCCTGGCTGCTCTGGAACTCACTCTGTATACCAGGCTGGCCTCGAACTTGGAGATGGGCCTGCCTCTGCCTCCCAAGTGCTGAGATTAAAGGCACGTGCTGCCTCCGCCTCCTTCAACAAATCCTACCATGCAACACAACTGGCTTCTTTTGTTTTTAATGTGAATTCTAGAGGCTCGAGGTGATTCAGCAGTTAAGGACATTTGCTGCACTTGTAAAGGACAATGGTTTGATCCCCAGCACCCATTGAGTAGTTCACAACCATCTGCAACTCTGGTTCCAGGAAACCTGATGACCTCTTCTGGCCTTTGTGGGCACCAGGCACATACATACATGCAGGTAAAACATTCACGCATAAAAGTAAATTTAAGTGTGTGTGTTGGGGGCCAGGACATGGTATCACAAGCCTTTAATCCCAGTACTTGGTAGGCAGAAGCAAGCAGATCACTGTAAATTCAATGTAAGCCTCGTCAACACAGTGAATTCTAGGACAGCCAATGCTAAATAGACTCCAACTCAAAAAAATAAAAAAAATAACCTATGAAGTTTTGGAAACTAAACTAAGGTCCTACAACTTTTTTTTTCTTTTTTTTTTTTTTAAACAACCAAGCTATGTCCCTACCCTCTCTACCTACTTATTTTTTAAGATTTATGTTTGGTGCTAGAGAAATGGCTCAGCAGTTAAGAGAACTGGCTGCCCTTCCAGAGGAAGGGTTTGATTCCCAACACCCACATTGTAGCTCACACTGTACTAGGAGGATCCGACAGCTTCTTCTGTCAAAAAGCCAATGATAGGTAGAAAGGTAGGTAGGTAGGTAGACAGATCATTAGATAAAACCAAAAACTCTTTTATTTTTAATCATATGCGTATGAGCAAACCTGTGAGGGTAAGTGCCCACAAAGTCCAGAAAGGGGCATCAGATCTTCCGGAACTAGTTACAGGAGGTTGAGTTGCCCATCCTCCTAAGTGCTGAGCCATCTCTCAGGTCCCGACCTGCTTTTTAAGACATGTCCACTCACCTCTCAGCACTCCACTGACCACCACCGGCTCACGGCTGTTGCTATGGTCATCAGCATTCAGGACTTCTTAGCAGAAGGACCCTAACATTTATTCTACTGTCCCTAAGCTTCCCTTCTCTTTCCATCCTAACTTTCCTTCTGGTTCTATTTCTGCCTCCTCAGCTAATCCTGTTTTTACATTTCATAACCTCTTTCACTGAGATGCTGCAATGTCTCTCAATTTCAACTTTACCAAGTTCTTCAAATTCTGTATCTTAAGACTCATGTTTCTTTCTACCTATTAGCATCGAATGAATGTCCCAGTCTTAACACCTCATGTTCCATTTTTCCCATGATTGTGTTATTTACTGGAAAAACCTGTTTCTGGCCTAGTACACACTTTTAATCCAAGAGCTTTCTGCTTGAATATTGTGAACAGGATTAAATAAAGTCAACCCAAGGTCAAGAGGTAGAACAAGCAACCAGTTGACAGTGAGTGAACATAGATTAAGAAAAAAAAAAAAAAAACATAGAAAGAGCAAGTCAGAAGGATGAACAGAGATACACAGATGTAAAAGGGAGGGACAATGCATTTGAGGGTTTTTTGAGACTGGATGGAAGAGGTAGATTCCTTCTGGGAAGTCAGCTTTCACCCCAGCATCTGGCTACCGAGTTTTTATTTGTAAAATCGAATGACTGAGATTTTTGTTAAAAACATCTATCCACCCAGTCACTCTAACCAGGAGAAATCTTGGTGCTTCTTGACTTTTGCCCCTCCTACTGCATACAGTCAGTTACCAAACTCAAGCTCCTTCAAACTGTTTTTCCTGTCTCACACCCTCTGCCTCTCCTTTAGGATTACAGTCGCCACCCACTGTCCTTTCTCTCCGACCCACTTTGTAAACTGCTTTCAGCAAGAGTTCTCATCTCAGCGGCTCAGAAAACAGTCTCCAGAATCTTCTTCAAAACTTAATTAACATCGCTGAGCTCTATACACCTGCGGTCTGAGAAGCAGTGCTTGTTACCTGGCAATTTCCTGGTGGTAATCATAGTGTTCATCCTCCTCCAGCCATTCCAGGGATCCTGTGGTTGGATTGGCACGACCACAGAAGACCTTCATGGTGCCAACTGGCTCTTCAATGTTTGCACAGAAACTCAGCCTTGTCAATTGACTTCTTAGAAACAGATCTGGATATCAGAAACCTAGTCAATTATAATACCTATGATGGAGGCAAAGAGACAAGAAAACAAAAAGGAAAAAAAGAATCAAGAAACAGACAGAAATGTCAAAATCACTTAAAACTTTTTAGTAATGACACAAATCTTCAATCTCAACTCTGGGGAGTCAGAGACAGGTGGATCTCTGTTAAGTACTAAGTCAGCGTAGTCTACACAGCATGTTCTACGCCAGTAAGAATTACACAGTGATAGCCTATCTCAAAAAATATTAATCAGCTTTTTAATATTTCTAGCAAGAGTGATTTCATTTTATACACAGCACATACCACTAAAAACTATAATAAAACCCAGCTGTGGTAGCTGAGATTCCTAAGTATGATCTGAAATTTGATGCCAGCCTGGACTACGGTGTGAGATAGTGTCATATAACAAGAACAAAATACAAGAACGTGTTGGTGCACGACTTTGATTCCAGCCCTAGGAAGGCAGAAGCAGGAGGATCTCTGAGTTCCTTGACTGTCAGAACTACACAATGAGATCATATCTTAAGAAAAAGTAGAGAAAAAAAAAAATCCCATAGTAAATATATAATACTATCTGGAAATTATGACACTCTTCAGAAATCCCAGAAGACTTAAAAGTACCCCACAAGATCATCCAGTTCCAGCCCTCAGGTGAAGGCAAAGCAAGCCAAGCAATGAATTATCAGAAGGTAACAAAAACGCAAAGCGCAGTAGTCATCCTAGGTATATTAAGCACACTGTGCGGTCGCTTGGGTTTAACTAGGCACTTTCTTAGAGATGCACTGGAGGCCACTCCAGAGTTTTAATCAAAGGCACGTCTACGTAGGGTACACTCGTTTACAGCAATGCTCCAGACAAATGTGTGGTTTCATACTACACAGAACACCGACTAAGAAAGCCTATTCCGAATCAGAGAACCGCAGAACGGCTCCGGGACCGAAGGCTGGAGGGGAGTACAACTGAGGTCCGGGTTTGAGTGGCTGAAGCGAGGCTCGGCGGGACCAGTCTTAGGCCCCACACCCTACTTAGTGCTAGGCCACAGTCTGAGAAAGGACAACCACACACGCGGGCTGCTGTGCAGGGGCAGACCTGTCCGCTACGGTGCTTGAACAACTCCACGTGGACTCTGGAGAAGTCCACAAGTATACCGGGAACTCGAATGTACCCACGCCAGGACCCTATGCCAGAGCCCAGAAAATGAGGCCGGAAGGCTGGCTGCACTCAGGACCTGCCACGGCCCTACTTCCCCGGCAAACCCAATAGCTCACCCTCCGTGGGAAGCACTCCACACGCCACCAATGGCTGCGACCATTCTGCCTCGCCCACCACATGGGGGCGGGACCTCAGCGCGTAGGCATGACGTTTCCCGCGGCGCAAACCTCTGCGGAACTGGAGACATCTCCCGTCGCACCCCGCGCCTTCCCACAGTGCTCCGCGACAGCAGCTATGGAGGCCGGCAGGACTGCGGTGTTGCGCGTGAAGCGGAAGCGCAATGCGGAGCCAGCAGAGGCTCTCGTGCTGGCCTGTAAACGCCTCCGGGACAGCGAGGTCCAGTCGTCTGCTCAGGAGACGCCAGGGGATCAGGAGACGGCGGCGCAGAGGAATGTCTTCCAGTTGGTTGCTACCGTGCGCTCCCAGGTATGAAACAGGCGTGGACTCTTGTGTGGAAGGGAATCTTAAATGCTTCCCATATACAATTGCTGAGGCTGTCATCCTTGTCACCCTATTCCTGTGGTCCCTCAGGAGGAGCCAATCCAGCAGCTTGTGCGCGCTGCCCTGCGCCCTTCCCGGAGCAGCCAGCTGCGTATCCGCCGCGATCTTCGTGCCTCGGTCCGCGAGGTCCGTAAAGAGGGCCGCTACAGGATAGTCTCCAGCCACCGGTCTTCGGGGACCTCTAGCAGTTTGGAGCCCCAATGTGTGTCAGAAGCTGACGGGGACACAGGCTTCCAGTTGTTGGACCTGGTCCACGAGGAGGGAGACCCGGAGGCGGCTGCCACAGATTGCTGTAAAGTGAGTACTCCGTGTCCCTGCTCTGCTCCCAAAGGCAGCAATTAAGAGACAGCATACATTCTAAGCTTAAGGATGGATGATCCACCCTAAAGAATGGTATCTGTTTGATTTCTTGCTTTTGTCTTGTTGATAGTTTTTGCTGAGATAGTTTTGCTGTGTCGCTCTGGCTGACAAAGCACTGGCTCTGTAGTCCAGGCAGGCCTCTGACACTCAATGGTTCCCCATGCTTCACCAGCCCCAGTGCTGGGGTTACAGTCATGTACCACATCCAACATGACTGGCTTTTCTTTTCTTTCTAGTTTGGTGTGGTGGCGACACCTTTGATCCCAGCACTTGTGAGGCAGTGGGTGGATCTCTGAGTTCCAAGCCAACCAGGACTACACAGTGAGACCTTGTCTCAAAAAAAAAAAAAAAAAAAAAATTAAGGTGTAGTTGCCCAGGCACTCATCACAGAGGCGGTTAGATCTCTGCATTCAAGGCTAGCCAGAGCTACACAGCGAGACCCTGTACCTAAACAAAATTGAAAAGTAGATTTGAGCCTATTTAAAATGTGTACATTATTATTTAGAGACTGTTAAACCTTTGTTGCTATAACAAATGAGGGAAATACAAAAAGATTGATGTTAGCTTAATTTCAGAGGTTTTGGTGCATGGTTGGCCTGCTCAGTTGTGGCCTGCTGTGGATTTGTATTGCAGAGGGATACTATAGCAACAGGAGTATGTACCAGAGCAGTCAACCTATAGTGGCCAGCAAGCAGATAAATAAGAACGCTTTAAAAAAAAAAAAAGTAGCTAGCCATGGTGGTGCACGCTTTTAATCCCAGCACTCAGGGAGACAGAGAGAGGTGATCTCTGAGTTTGAGGCCAGCCTGGTCTACAAAGTGAGTCCAGGACAGCCAAGGCTACACAGAGAAGCCCTGTCTTGGTGAGGGGAGGGGAAGGAAGAAAAGAGGTATGTATGGGACTTTAGAGGTGGTTCAGCAGTTTACTTGCTGTTTCATCATGAAGACCTGGGTTTGGTTCCCAGCACCCACATATAAGGCACCTTAAAACTGAATCCACCTCAGTTTGAGTGAAATCAACATCTTGGTAATCCTGAAGTTTGGCAACATGGAAAATACTTGTGTTTAACAATAGAAAGCGCTCTGTACTATAACTGAAAATGAGTGTGCATATATGCAAACATTAAAAATATTTCTGAGGGCTAGCATGACTGTTCAGCAGGAAAAGCTGCAACCCGAGTTCAATAGCCAAGGACCCACATGTCCACCATGTCATCACACCCTTGTAGTACTGTTCTAGTTTTCTTTCTGTTGCTGTGATGCATTTTGAACAAAAGTAACAGGGTAGTAAAGGTTTTAGAAAATGCAGGAAAAAAAAATGCAGGAACTTGTTGCGGAAACCATGGAAAATGCTTCCTCTGTTGCTACTATTTTGGTTTTTTGAGACAGGGTCTTAACTATGTAGCTCTGGCTGTCCTGGAACTCACTAAGTAAACCAGACCAACCTTAAACTCCACGGGATCTGCCTGCCTCTGCCACTTGAGTGCTGGGATTAAAGGTGTATGCACTATGCCCTGTTGGAAAATGCTTCCAGGCTTATCCTTAGTTTCTTTTGTAGCCCTAGACCAAGAAATGGACTAGGCCTACTCAAGAAATGGTACAGGCCTAGCTACTCAATTCCTTGAGATTCTCTTCTCTAGTGACTCCAGGCTATCTCAAGTTGACTGTTAAAACGAACTAGAACACACATACGATAATTTTTATTTTTTAATAATTTTTCTACAAAGCATAGTGGCTCAATGCCTATAATCCCAGCACTTAGGAAGCTGAGGCAAGATTTCCCTAGGTTTGGGTCCAGTCTGGGCCAGTAGCAAAAAGTGTGAGAACAATGTCTATTCATGAAAAAACATAGCAACCTAAGAGTAAACTAGGAGTTTAGGGATATAGATAAAGAATTTGTCTAGATTGTGTAAGGCCCTCAATTTAAATCTCAGTAATGGAGGGGGAAAAAAATCACTCAGTTTACCCACAATCCAAAAGTAACTAGAGGGAAGCTGGTTAATTTTCTAGTCCTAAAAACTTAATGACTCCATAATTTCCTGGGATTAGAGTGAAGACCTGTGAGTTGGAGCCAGAATTCTCCTTATAAAGAGCTTTGAGGATGGGCGGGAGAGCACCAGGTGCTCTTTGCAGAGGACCTGGGTTCAATTCCCAGTACCCTCATGACACGGCTCACAACTATCTGCAACTTAGGTCCCAGGGGATCCAACACTCTTCTGACCTCTGAGGGCACCACACATACACATGGTATGTATACATACATAAAGACAAAAAAAAAAGCGCTTTGAGGAGCAAAAGCTTATACAGAAACTTGTACCACTAATTCCTTTGTGACTTTAGAGCAACGGGAAGTTGCCCTTGATTTGTATGGGCCAGTATTGGTCTCCCTCTGTGTGCTTTGGTAATGGAACATTCCTACTTCTGTATGGTAGCTGGTTTCAGCTACACTGCTTTCTCTGATGAACTTGTTGAGGCCATCTGTAGCATTTCCCTGCAACTTCACACTGACCTGCGCTACCAGGACCCTGTAGACACTGTAAATTATCTTAACCTGGACTAGTTCTTTTCTAGGACTTTGTTTTCAATGAGCTCTTCTTTCTAGAGGGGATTATAAGCTAGTCTTCTTTATTAGATGTAGTTTGGTCAGTTAAATGAGCCAAATGAAAGATTTTAATAGGTTTTACCAGGAAACCTTAAGTGGACCTATGGATCCTAAAGGAAAAACATAATAGGAAAAGAGTACTCTAAGAGTCAATACTGCCTGCAGTCCTAGTATTTGGGAGGCAGAGGCAGGCAGATCTCTGAGAGTTCAAGACTAGAATCCTTATTTGAGTCTTATCTCTGTCATGTCATCTGCTTTCTTTGTAGACATCTGATCCAGATGTGATCCTCTGTAATTCTGTAGAGTTGATCCGTGAGAAGCTAACTGTATCTGAAGATGGAGCACCAGTAGAACATCAGGAGGAACCAAAGCACAATGACGACTATGTATATGACATTTACTATATGGAGATGGTCCCTCCAGGGTGGATTGAGAACATCCTGTCTGTGCAGCCCTACAGCCAGGAATGGGAGCTGGTAAGGAGGTCCAAAAGGAGAAGGGCATGTAACAGGATACTTTGACTTCCTGGACCCCACTCTTTCTTGGTTTCATTTGTTTTTTAATTTTAAAATTAATTTTACTTACTGTGAATGTTATGATGCATGTGTAGTAGGGCCTTGAAGCAGGGCCTCTCAATGAAGCCAGAGCTCACCATTTCTAACTAATCTAACTGGACAGCTTATCTCAAGGATTCCTGTCTCTGCCTCTCATGTGCTGGGATCTCAGACAGGCTACCCAGCTTTTACATGGGTTCTGAATATCTGAACTCTGGTGCTTAAGATCACTCAACAAGTACTTTATCCACGCTGAGCTATCATCTAGCGCTTATTTTTGTGAAAGGGTATCTCTTTTACACCTAAGTTTTTAACTTTTGGCATTCGGAATTGCCTCAGCTTCCCCAATATTGGGATTACAAGCATGTACCACCACCTTGGCTATGAACTCCTCTCTTGGTAAACATTGTTCTAGTTCTTGTTTTTGCTTAGTAGAATAGTTTTATTATAAATCCTTTGTAGAAACCCTGGTTTAATATAGCAAATATGAAACTGGGTACAGTGGTACACATCTTTAATTCTAGCACTCAAGGAGGCAGAGGCAGGTGGATCTCTGTGAGTTCGAGACCAGCCTGGTCTACAGAGCGAATCCAGGAGAGCCAAGGCTACAAAGAGAAACCCTGTCTCAAAAAAAGAAAAAAAAAATGTTGGACTACCTACAACTGAAAGATTTGTTCATAATGAATCTTGAGACAATAAAACATGCCATTAACATGAATATGAACAAAATTAGTATCTGCACATTACTTGCATGCTGGTGCCAAAAGAGGCCAGAAGAGTGTTAGATCTTCTGGAAGTAGAATTGTAAGCCATCATGTAAGTGCTGAGACTTCAGTCATCTCAAACCTCCTCCCCTCCCCCCCAAGAACAGAAACATTCTCTTAAAATCTAAAAAAAAAAAGCCCAGGCATGCTGGTACACACCTTTAATCCCAGCATGGAGACAAAGGCAGGTGGCATCTGTGAGACCATCTTGATCTACATAAGCAAGCTCCAGGCTGGCCACAGCTACATATTAAGTCCTTGTCTCAGAATAATAAAGAGGAGAAATTTTTCCTTAACATCCTAACTCTATTTTCTAAAAATGTTGAGAGGTTTTATGTGTATGCATGAGTCTGTGTTTATCTGCCTGAGTGGATGTGCCCACTTCAGACCACTATGTGGCCTCTACTCCTCCTTGTACCACTTACCCTGAGATTTTTTGATCCTAACCTTGATATCACTACAGTCATAAAGTCCCTCTCCCACCTGGCAGTCCTTCGGGGATTTGAAAATAGATGCCACTACCTCCTCTTTACAATCATTCCCCTGTAATGGCATTGGGATGTGGTATCTTGAGTGGATCTGAGCTCTTGTAAACCCTTTGTAGCCTAAGATTACCTAGTCTCTTGTAAAGCAGAGTCAAACGAACTCCTCGTCTGGCCATTTTCACATAGTACCATTACTTGAATCTCCCCAAGATATTATGCCTTTAGCCTCAAACAGGGAGTATAAGTAGAGGTTTTGGACTTAAACTCATGTTTATGTTGAGATGTTCAGGTGAATGATGCTGAGCAACCAGAAGATATTTATGAAGACGAAGATGATGAAAACAGTGAAAATAATTGGCGCAATGAGTACCCAGATGAAGAAAGCAGTGATGGAGATGAAGATTCCAGAGGTAGGTAGCAACCCAGATGGAGTTGGACTGATAGGAGTCAAGATTGAGGTGAAGGCACAATTAATTGATGGGTATGCTTACATATGGCTAAGCTTTTCCTCTCTGTAGGGGAACTGTTAGAGAAAGTATTAACAGGTTTGGAGATGCTTGAATGCCTAGGAGCATTGGCCGTTCTTGCAAAAGGTAAGGGTTCTGTTCCCAGTACTGACATGACAGCTCATGTCATGTCATCCTTAATTGCATTCAGTTCCAAGGGAACCTGACTCACTATTCTGACTTCTGTGGGCACCAGCAGGCATACATGTGCACATTCAGGAAAAAACACTCAAATACATTCTTTTAAAAAAGAAAACTGGATGTGAATCCCTGCAAATGAATTTCTTGAGTTTAAGGCCGACCTGAAGTAAGTTCCAGAACAGCCAGGGCTACACACAAGTGTTAATATATCAGCCAGCAAGTCTGGCAACAAGAGGTGGATCCCCAGAATCCTCTGTAAAAAGAAAAGCAACCTCTAAAAGCTGTCATCTGACACACACACACACACACACACAAATACACACAAATATATCCACTTATTGTATTGGAACTTACTCTGTAGATCAGGCTGGCCTTAAACTCAAGAAATTCATGGACTCTCAACTTCTGGGTTTAAAGGTGTGTGCCACCACAGCACGGCTTAAATTTTAAGTTTTAAAAAGAGATATGTATTAACATGAATGTGGTAGAACACACCTGTCATCCCAGCACTCACATGGCTGAGCAATGAGTTCTAGACAAACTTTGAAAGAAAGTAGGGGTAGAAAGACAAATCTCTGACCCCTAAACATTTAGCTGCCAAACCTGATATCACAAGTTTGATCCCCAGCACCCACATAATAGAAGGAAAAATGTGATTCCTATAAATTATCTTTTGACCAGATACACAACCCTCCACATACGCACCCCCAACAAAATAAGTAAACATAAGCTCTTCATCACAAATTTTCTTTATGAGCAAGTATTTTATAATGGAGAATAAAATCCTTATCTCCTTGTAGGCTCTGATGAATATAACAGCCTCAGCGAGGAGGAAAGAGGCAGCAATCGATTGGTATGGAACAAATACCCTTTGGATGTACAGAAGGAGTTTGGCTATGACAACTTGCATGACATAGATTCAGATTGATGGTCTGCTGGTATTCATGAGATTCTTCCACAGGCCCTTGAGGCTCTGTGGATTCCTAACTGGAAAGAAAAACTACAACCCAGCACAGTGAAGGCTTCCACTGACAAGCAATAATTGAAGCCAAGCATGCTGGCTCATGCCTGTAATATTCCAGCATTGGAGAATCTGGAAGCCAAGAGGAACACTGAAAATGCAAGGCCAGCCTGGACTGTGCCATAAATTCTAGACCACCCTGGGCAAAGAATTTGATTCTTTTAAAAAATAATAATAATAATAAATAGTAAGTGATCTTACAATCTGGAAAATAAATGATGTATAACTTCCAGCTCAGGTGGTTTTTCTGTCATTTCACATCTATGCTCAAGCCTAAAGGAGCCTCCAGTGGAGCCTGTTCCCCTTGATGGACAACGATGGCTCCCCTGCCCGAGCTATGGGGGCCGTTCCGCCTTCCCCACCTTGGACTCTGATGATGGTTGTAAAGACTGCTCTCATCTTTTGGCAGTGGAGCCAAGGAACAGGATTGTATGAATATGATACTCTTTAATAAAGACTAACTTTTACACGGAAGCAAGCAATTTTTTTAAAGCCTTTTAAGTTTGCTTATTTTAGGTGTTATCCCCACAGAAAAAGGAGAGGTTAGTGAGACAGGCATTTCAGAGTTAACTTTATACATTTTGGGCTCTGTTGGCCTGTTTACAGCTCTCACTAAAGACAAATTACAGTTGTCCCTCAGTACAGTTCCAGGACTGCCAAAATCCACCATGAATAAGTCCCTCATGTAAGATGACACGGTATTTGCACATAATCTATGCCCATCTTTAGAGTCTAAATACCTAACGTAACACTATCTAAATTGTACCACTGCTCTTTGGGGAATGACAAAAATTAATCTATGTAAGTTTAGAACAGGCACTTTTTTTAAGCTACACTTAGTTGAGTGCATAGATGCAGGGCTCACGTATGTGTAGACCCATTGTACCATCAGTAGGCCACTTTTGTCGTGGGAACTCATAAGCATCCCCCCCATACACTGACCAGTAGAACTTTCCCAGCATGTTCTGCACATGCACTTTGTAATTGTGTGGCTGTTGAACACTTGAGATATGACTAGTACAACAGAAAGCTCATGGATTGGTGTTTTGGGACAGGGAATGAGACAGGGTAGCCCTCCCTGGCTGTCTTAGAGCAGGCTAGCCTTGATCTGTCTGCCTCTGCCTCCCTAGCACTAGAATTAAAGGCATGAGCCACTATCACCAGTTTTGAGAGGATTTTTGGTTGTTTTAAACTGTAAGTTGCAATCTTGCCATAGTCTCGTAAGGTGCTAGTATAACATGTGCAAGTTACCAAACTGGTTGGGTTTTTATTTCATTTTAACTCAGCAACGTGTGGTTAGTAGTTACTGTAGTAGACATTAATTAGTATGAGGAAATAACAACATTCAATTCAGCAAATGCCCTCTTGTCCTAAGAATGCTGATCCAAGAGAAAGTGAATAACACAGATGCCTTCTTCCCAATGCTTTCCAGTTCAAAGCCTCTACTGCCTCTAGTCATTCCTTCACTTTATGTCTATTTTATAAGCCTTTACCTATATGGTAGTTCCCATCTACAAGGAGTTACTAAATGATGTAATTTGTATACTCAAATAGTTTTTACAACCAATCGATAAGCAAAAGTGTCCCAGTTACTCTGAGTAATGGGCAGCAATACAGCATCTAACACCAGTCATCGTGATCTGTAGGCATATAAGCAGGAATAAAATCCTGTTTGCCACTACAGTGTGTTCACTGGTGTGTATGTGTTCATTAAATTATGCTAATAAAAAAGGGCTGACAACTTCACAGACTGTACCTATTCCAAAAGGGGAACAAACTGTACCATTGTAAATGGGATTAGCACACCAGGAGGTGGATTCAAAGAGACAAAGACTCGGTAGGAAGAATTCCACCATGACGCTTGAGTGCTGTAGGAAGTCTAGCTTCTTTCCCACAGTAAGGGTGCCTGGGGGAAGCTATGTTCACCTCAGAAGGAAAAAATGCTGCCCTAGTCAAGTGATTGTTGGTCATTAAGCAACAGCACCCTGAGTGTGAGGTCCCCACTTCTCCCAGAAACCACTGGAGGGCAGCAAATTCCTGGGATTAGTTAAAAAGGACCAAAGACCACTAAAAAAAAACAGGCTCACACTCCACTTAAAAGCTGAGCTCTAGCAGAGCCTTGGAATGGGTACCAGCTTCCCTCAGACATGAATCATGTTTGTATATATGGTTTAGGCAAGTCAACCCATGATAGTACCGAAGGTTACCAGAAAGCTCTCAAAGATGCATGTCCAAAACCAAAGGCAACTATGATCACACTCCCCTAAGTCTTTATTGAGCAAGCAGATATCCAAGGTTACTCCTGTGCATTTTGGGCCAGTTTGGTAAAAAAAAAAAAGGATCAGAAGGGGAGACTGTCTCAGTTATTATTTGTATTGTTCACAAATTCCAAAACTTAAAGATGAAATGTCCATGTCAAAACAGCAGGTTCTTCTATGTCCAAGATGACATACCAAGATAGTTGTACAATCCAATGTAGACATATTGCCCACAAGCAAAGATGGAAGTCTGTTGTTTTGGCCTCAACTCAGCCTAGCCTGATCACCAGAATTAGCTGTTTCCACCCTTTTCCAGAAGTCAGACTGAGGTTAAAGTTGTTTTCTCTCCTACAGTCTCCATCAATCTTCACAGGGAGAAAATAGCAGATGCACAAGTACCAAGCACTTTTGGGACTCACTCTCACCAGCCCTTGGACAAGAGAAGGCAAGCAGATGTACTGTCCCACGACCCAAGATGGTTCAGAGTGTGAGCAAAGCCTGGTGCCCTGTGGCTTTCAGAAAGTTAATGACCAGAGCGGGTTTGCATGAGTCTATACACAGCAAACCCTCACATAGGCCCTTGAAGAGAACAAGCTATTTGATGACTTGAATCCACGAGATGTTCTCCTGGTACAGTGACAACTGATAGATCAAGGTGATCTACCTGAATTCCAGAACATTCCAGGCCTCTTACAGTTCATAACAGAGATCCAAAATTTTATTTTCTATCAACTAGAACAAAGACCTATGGTCTTAATAAAAAACAAAGGATTATCCTTTAAAATAGCAGTATTACCAGACTTCTGACTCAAGAACTTGCTCATCTGTCCTTGCTGGGTCTGAGACAGATGATAGGAACATGTGACTTATCTATACATTAACGTGTAACGGGTACATGATGAGACAGGATACTGTTATATAGCCCAGAGTGGCTACCCGGAACTCACTATGTAGCCTAAGCTAACCTCACATTCTAACTCCTCCTGGCTCCCCATGCCAAGTGCTCAGATTAGAGGTGTGCACTGCCAGCCTAGCTAAGGTACTTTTTCTTCACACACAATTCACTTATGACATCTGTTGACAAATGATCACTAATGGTTTGCTACAACTGATGTCCTGAAGTAAGTATCAATAAAATAATGAAATGTACAGATTGGTTTTTGGTGACAATAGTGGCTTGTCCAGGTAGTAGCAGAGATGCTCCATTCAGCTGGAGTGGTGAGGTTTTCTCTCAGCCCTTGTTTCAAGGGCTCCACAGCACCATGGATCAGCTAGGAAGGGCACAATCAAGTGGCCAGGACAAATTCCTTGATAAGATAGAAGCTCACCCTCTTGCTTAAGGATTCTGACTATACTGCTAATATGATCTGAGCAAAGTCAGTCAGACAGGCAGCACCTCCTCAAGGAGATGGATATTCTGTACACAATGAGAACCCAAGGATACCCCAACATTCAGACCCACAAATGAGAAGTCCTCAACAGGAGGATCTTCATTCCTAGACCCTGAAAAGTCTTTCATCAAGCTTATTGTTTGCTTGAAAGTGAAATTCCAGAAAAGGGAGTGATGTCCCTCTTGTGGAATTCAGGAAAAGAGGTACATTGATCCCATGTCAGATAAACGAAGCCTTGCTGCTCTTGCTACCCAAAAACAAAAAAATAATGCTCTCCCCAAGAATTTTGAGTCACAGGAAGAAATAGTAACATTCGGGCCTCTAAAAAAATCAAGAAGCTGGACTTGGTCAGAGGAAAACTTCTCATGAAGAAGCCCCACTGTAGACTTATGGTTTAAACTGCAAATAGCTGTGAATCATGAACCATTAACTGTCAACTTAACATCCTTTTTTTGTTCAGGACAACTTACCAACAGGTCCATACCTACTCACCGGAAATAAAACTAAACCAACCCTTCCCCATCCCCATTTCCCTCCCACTGAAGTCCCCATCTTCAAGCTGGCCTGATCAGTCTCTTCCCACAGCTTACCAATGAGAGAGCATTGGCCCTGAGCCCCCTTACAGAATGTGGGCCAACAAGCTCCTTTTAATTCAGAAGGGTTAGGTAACTGGTCTTTGGTGGCTGTGGTCACAGCTTTTTGGACTTCAGGGAATGTCATCTCTGGCTCCTAGTCAGTTTTCCTCTCAACATTTTCCTCTTCAGCTACATCTAGCTCAGTCAAGACGCAAAAGCAAAGCTTCTGGGTAACTCTGGTGACAGCAGCTAAATGAAGATAAGAAGCACAAGACTTAGCAAACATTATTTTACTACAGTTTCAATCTGAATACCAGAAGGCTGAAAACATATCTGTGACTCCTTCCCACCTGTGCCTTAGGTACACCAAGCCTGGCCTTGTCCTTAACCAACAAGCCTCTCTATTCCACACCCAGCCTTTTCTTCCCAGGTGTGGTCATACACCTGTAATCCTTGAGAGGTAAAGGCAGGAGGATGAGGAGTTCAGGGTCACCCTCAGCAACATAGCAAGCTCAAGACTAGCCTGAGCTACACAAAGCCCTGTGTCAAAAAATACAACAACAGGGGGCTGAAGGGACGGCTCAGCGGTTGGTTGAGAGCGCTGACTGCTCTTCCAGAGGGCCCAGGTTCAATCCCCTCATGGCAGTTCACAACTGTCTGTAACTCCAAGATCTGACACCCTCACACAGACACACACATAGGCAAACCACCAATGCACATAAAAATAGAAATAAAGATTTAAAAATATTTTTTAAAAAATTACAAAAACAAACCCAACAACACCAAAAAACAGATAGTGCTTTAACTCTAGAATAGAACACACACACGCACAAAAAAAAAAAAAAAAAAGATGATGGGCAGCCAGGTTTTATCCTCTTGCCATCGTAAGGTGGAAGAGTTGGTAGCCTGGTGCAGGCTGAGCATAAGCACTCAGCCAATGAACAATAGGAGCAAAGAGACACTCACCCAGAACATTCCTAATAAAGAGTGGCCTTCGGGACTCTGGCAGGTAAACACCCATGAAGTAGACAGGGACCCCAGAGACAGCAATCCCAATGCCAATGAGGGAATTGATGGTGTCACTGAAGAGGGGTACGGCCACCAGAAACAAGGAGCATATGCAGAACACGATGGGAAAAAAGAGGCTCAGCTGAAATAGAGGTTAAGTGAGATTTAGTAGGGTGAGATGAAAGAACACAGCCTGATCAAAAGGTATTTCCAGAAGGCTTGAGAGATGCCTTAGAGGGTAAGAGCATTGGGTGCTCTTCCAAAGGTCCTGTGTTCAATTCCCAGCAACCACATGGTAGCTCACAACCATGTATGAGATCTGGTGCCCCAAACACTGTATACATAATAAATAAATAAACAGATAGATAGATAAATAAATAAAGTAGGAGGACCCAGGGCTAGAGAGATGGCTCAGTGGTTAAGGGCACTGTCTGCTCTTCAGGAGGACCTATGTTCAGTTCCCAGTGCCCACATGGCAGCTCACAGCTGTCTATAACTCCAGTTCCAGAAGATCTGCCACCCTTGCACAGGCAGAACACCAATGCACATAAAATAAATAAAAGACCCACTTGTGCTAGTATGCAAGAGCTGTGCACATTGAGCCCTCCTTGGCCACAGAGTTAGTTTCAAGCTAATCTGGACCACATGAGGTCCTATCTTAACCATGCTGACCTTAAGAGGTCGAGGCCAGTCAGGCTCTTTCCATCGAAGGTAGAGCTGTCCAACAACAGACAAGCCGACAAAGAGCCAGTAGCTGAAGCTGAAGTAGTTGATGAGAAGGAAAACATCCTTTACGATGAGGTAGATGAGTGTCATGGTGCACTGAGGGGTAGGTAGTGGAGAAGACAGGAGAGTGTCAGTACTTCCAGCCATACCAGGGAACTCCACCATACAGCAGTCTGTCAGAGCTGAAACAGCTTTACCAGATTAGCTCTGGTTTTCAGTGACAGACAGATCCATCACCAACATTAACCTTCAAGGCAACATCTCCACCTCCACTTATACTCAGTGTTCCCCTTATTTATTGCACACACTTTGGTTAACAAGGTAGATTCTTCTTCCTTTCTGATGGCAGAAATCACAATGGGAATTACACTGCTGGCAAACAAATGGAAGAAATGCCTCCAGAACCATCATAGTCACCTGGAGCTTTTTGAAAGGGAGTCAGCAAAATGGATCCATATCTACTCTGAGAGTGTCTCTTGTATGAAAGAATCCTAGCGGATAGGGTTACAGGGACTAGCTTTCTAAGTCAAGGTCAGACCTGCTTAAACTTAAAAAATAGACAATTTTCCTACCTTTTTTTTTCACCCTGACTCATATATCAACACGGGGGCAGGGAGAAGCCCTTCTGAAGCAATGAAAGGGAGGCAAGAATATCTAAAGCTCAAGTTCAACTTGTTATGTAAGAAGGCCTTGTCTGGGGCAGAGGGCATACTGTTCCCTGTATGTAACAGTAGTAGAATGCCTTCCTAACTTCTATGGGGGCCTAAGTTCCATCCCAAACACTTCAAAAAAGATAAAAAACAAAACAAAACAAACAACAATAAAAAAAAACTGTGCTTCAAATCTTGGAACAAAGCCTAAAGTATAGTGTAAGCTAGGAATCCTGCACAAACCTGCCTAGGCCCACACCCTCCCAGAAGATCTTACATTGAACAATAAAGCAGGTACAGGTGTAAAGCGCTCAATGTGGATCATGGACAGAAAGTTCGGGAGGTGGCCCTCACGGGAGCCCACGAAAAACAACCTGTATGGGGATGAAATGTGTCAGCAGCCTTTTATTCAGTCACATTACTCAGACAAACTAAGCTCAGAGCCCGTGGCAGGGGGCGGGGAACAGGGGACAGCCTCACAGGCCCAGCCCGTTACTCATACTGCTCACTATTAGCTATTAGTATGCTGTTCAGTACCAGCACCTCACCACTACCCAGGAACGCTCTCCCACCATTATCCCTGGACCACTCCAGCCTCTCAGCAAAGAAATTCACTATCATCTATCTACCAACACTCCCACTTCTGAACCAGATACCTCACCACATCCCACAGATGCTGTTTTCATGATCTAATGGCATTCCTCATCCACCAGGAGTATCCCTATTCTGCCACTGTACAAATTTACAGCCACCACAGTGGTTTTTTTTTTTTTTTTTTTTTTTTTGGTTGGTTGGTTTATTTAAAAGACATGGTCTACTATGTAGGTCTAGTTGGATTCCAACTTGAGATCCTCCTATTTCAGCTGACATTCTTTTAAAAGCCATCATGGGGGTTGGAGAGATAGTACAGCAGTTAAGAGCCTGTACTACTCTTACACTGGTGCCCCTGCAACTAGAGACAAATGGTTATGAGCTGCCTATAAAGAAAAGTCTATCATCAGAAAAGCCAAAGTACCTTGATGAAGCGAAGATGGATGCATTTAGGCCCCCAAAGCAGGACAGAGCAACAGCAATGGGGATGGTCCAGCTGAACATACCAAATGTCTGGTCAGCAAATGTCTGAGGGGAGAGCAAAGAAGGGATACTCAATACAGGATAGAGTTTTGTAATCCCCACCCCCCATATCTATGATCTCTAAACAAGGCAGTCACTGCTAGCCTGCCCACCCTTTGCCCCATCCCTCATACTGTAGAACTACAGTAGCTACAGGAAAAGACTGGACTATTCAGGAGCTAAGCACCATATGATCCTCATGAGATGAGAAACATGAGCAAATGAGGATCCCCCAAGAGACTCACCACAGCCACAGCATCACTGTTATGGACATCTTGAATGTCTAGCACTGTGTAATAGGCCACGTTTGTCAGGATGTAGATGAGTGTCACAACTGGCATAGAAATCCCAATGGCCAAGGGCAAATTTCTGTAGGACAAGTGAAATAAGGCTACGTAGAACCAACCTCCCCTAAGAATGACAACTGATCCAGCACCCACTGGAATTTGCCTAACACTTAACAGTTCACTAGCTGCCACGTCTTTGAGATGGGCTCCTCTTCCCCATGTGAGCTGGGGTGAGGATGCTTCCCATGCTCCTGGGCACTGTCCACTGGGAAGAACAGGACTTTCCCGGAGAAGGGGCTCAAGATTAGTATCCTACCACATTAGGGCCAGTGAGTCTCATGTGGCTTTATAATCTTCCTGCATCTATGATCTCAGGATAAATGCAAGGAGCAATACCATCTAGAAACTGAAGCCTAGGCTTGAGGCCTGGTAGGCCAGAAACATTCTCAGTACCACAAGAAAGAGTCCTGCCACCTCAGCCCTAGCTGGGTCTGCTGCTGCCCACAAAAAACCTCTCCTCTAGGAACAACCCTGAGTGCTCTCCAACGGAACACGAGGGTGAGAGCCAGGACTTTCCCACATTCACTCACTCCCATCCTAGCCCCCAACCCCTCCTAACTGGAGAAGGGGAGCAGGGAGAGGAAGAGGAGATGGGAAGTAGAGGGAGGAGGTTTGAGAAAAGGGTAACTGTGCCCACCATCAGCAGGAGTTCCAGCCAAGATGGACAGTGTGATCTCGCCTTTACCTTTCTGGGTTTTTGATTTCTTCTGTTACAAAATTAAGGGTGTCCCAACCTGAGTAAGAGAAGAGGGCAGAGTACAGGGCAAGAGAGAGGTTTCCCATTTTCCACGAGGAACCCTCAAAGGCGTCCTGAAAGTGCTCAGTGTGTCCTGTGGGGCAAAGGTGGGTAGGAGACCAGGGAAAAGAAACAGGAGGGAGGAAGAGAGATGGAAGGAATATGGAGAAGATAAAGAATACAAAGATGAAACAAAAGGGAAAAAAAGAAAAACAGGGCAGGGAAAGAAAGAAAAAAAAAAAACATCATTTAATACCAAAGAACAAGTAGAAACTCCCTTGAGCTTCACCACCCACCTACTCCCTCAGGTTAAGTTTTCCTTAGTAAAACTAGGTGATCAAGAAAACAAAAGCATGCCTGGCTGAACTCTGAAGGAACATTTCTTTCAAGGCCCTACAAAATTTCCATTTCCTGCAAGTGACCTCAGTTCTTCCTATTTTGAAGCCACTAGTTGTTTCACACAAAGGAGTACTTTCTACTGACAATCAAGACACTTTAGCAGAAGGCCTTGGCTCAGCTCACTATACAGTTTAGCCACTATTTGCACTCTATTTTTTTTTTTTTTTATCAGTCTCTCTGCCATGGGTGTAGTGTGGTTGCCTGGGGCAGGAAATCTGGGGCTATACAGTAACTGAGATCTTATCTCTTAATGGGCTAACCCCACCCTTCAGAGCACCAATCCAAGCAAAGAAACCGGAAGCCTACCTAGCTGCACAGGACAGACATCCAGACAACACTGAGTTTCTAACAAGAGTCAGCCTTCTAAGGTGCCTGTCATCACCCCCTGCACAAAGCCTAGACTGAGGGGTAGAAAGAAGGCTCAGTGGCCAGCCACTTTTAACAACAGCTCCAGGGAGAGCTGACATCCTCTTCTGGCCTCCACAGGACCCATACACATGTGCCATATTCACATAGACACACACACAAAGAAAGCTCACACCCAGATTTCAATGTGGCAAAAGATATAGGCGTGCAGCAAGAGTTTCCAGGGGTTATCAGTCACTGCACACAGAGGAGGTTCTCTAAGCCACACACATTTTAGAGGAATGACTACTTAATCACCCAATTTTACTCCAGGATGCTCCTGAGACTCCAAGGACATTTAGATGCCTGGCTGTAGTTACTTGGCACTAGTGCACAGTTCCTAAGCTAGCTGTGTAGAATTACGTAGTGCACTTCATAAAAGCACAGCTTTGGACTTGGGGAAGCACTTGTCTAGCATGCATGTAGTCTTGGGTCTCTGGTCTTTAGGACCATACACACACAAGAATGTATTTAATTTTCAATTTCAGATCAATAGGTCTGAAATGAAGGGCTCAGCTCCCTACGTAACTCTAAATACAGCCATGTTTAGGGACTGAAAACATAGGGAATTGGCTGTTAAATGGGGAAGATATCTTTTGCTAAAGACCTTCCAGGATATCCTGGAACACCCATTAGCCTCAGTTTGCTCTGACCCCAGGATGAAAAGCTTTCAAGAGCCAGTATGTAGCTACATGGTGGTACATGCCTTTAATCCCAGCACTTGGAAAGCTATAGCAAGAGAATTAAACAGTATTTTTTAAATTTAAAAAATTAAATAAAGAGGCTAGCAATAGTGGCACACGCATTTAATTGTAGCACCTGGGAGCAGGCAGGTAAATCTCTGTGAGTTCAAGGCCAACCTGGTCTACAGAGGGTGTTCGAGGATAGCCAAGGCAATGCTGAAAAACCCTGCCTCAAAAACCCAAAAAGAGGGGGCTGGAGAGATGGCTCAGAAGTTAAAAGCTCTGGCTGTTCTTCCTAAAGGTCCTGAGTGCAATTCCCAGCAACTACATGGTGGCTCACAGCAACCTATATGGAGATCTGGTACATAATGAGATCTTTTGTATACATAATAAATAAATAAATCTTTTTTTTTTTTTTTTTTTTTTTTAAAGAGGACTAGGGGTGTAGCTGAGTGGCATATGGTTCTGGTTCCATCCTCAGTACAAGAAAAAAAAAAAAAGAAAAAAAGAATACAATGCTTAACATAAATCCAGATAAACAATAAATACTGAAAATTGGCCAAGAATTCCCTCCCCTACTCTCCAGGAAAGTCAAGTTTTACCACTCACTGCTTAGTGGTTACAGACTACATGCAGGACTGGTAATCTATTGCCCTAGATGACTTCTATGAATGACTCAATGATACTCCAAGTTTCAAGAACTCCTAGGACCTTTGCTAGCTTTCTGCAATGCTCTATATTTCCACAGAAGCCCTGAGGAGAAGCTGACATTTGGAATGTCCAGTTGGCCAAGCCATCCTGGCTGACAAAGTCCAGGAAGAGAGTCACATTCACTAACAACACTCTAGATTGAATGTATTGAGAGATGAAGCTAGCTGACTGAGTCCCTCCTCAGGGAGCCAAAGAGACTTCAGGAGACATTTACCCTTCTTCCCACCTCAGCCCCTCTTACCCTGGCACAGTTTAACAAGGCCCATGACAATGATGGCAATGAGTGCCAGGACCTTGGCATACGTGAATGTGTCTTGTACTCGTGTGCCCCACTTGACATAGGCACAGTTCACAAATGTCAGCAGACCTAGAAGGAAAACCATAGTATCACTGGCAGGTTTGAGCTGAACACACCACCCCAACCTCTATAGAAAACATTCTTCTGTTCTTCCTGCCTAAGTTAAAAGAACAGTGGAGCAGTGAGAAACGGAACAGGTAAACAGGAGGAGCAGCACATAGGCCAGCTCATATTCATACTGGACATACTCATACTGTATCCAAAGATACTAGGGCATGTATAAACACATATATGCTCTGAACTGCCAGAACCATTCCTGGAACTGTTCCCTAGCACCTAGAATGAGTGGCTTCACTTTACCCACTCTTACCCAACCAGACCCCCAAGGTGCCAAGTGATGAGGCACAAAACCTGTCTATGTTCACATGAGACAGTAGGGACAAAAAGGACCCAGTAACAAATGAGGTAAATTTGAATACTGATGACCGTGTGTGTTCTATGCTTGACATTTTCACAGGCATACTTCACTACCCACTCTCACAAATTCCCAAATGTAGTTGTCCATTTCGCATCTTACACATGAGGAAACTAAGGCTGAGAGAGACTATCATTCCCAAACTTACATTCCCAAGTCCAAATGATCTCCCTAATCCCATTCCAATGCAAACTTGCCAATTCTAAGGCAACACCATGAAGAATGAGCCCTCTGAAAACTTGCCAGGCTCCTGTCAGCCCTGCTACCTTTGAGATACACACTCATGGACCTCAATAACACCTAAGCCTGTAGACACTGACGGTTGTGAACTGCTAGTTGACTGAGGCTTAACCCACAGAGAGATCTCTGTTCCTGCAAAATAAGGACAATTTGACCCAGGGAATAACATGAGAGCAACTGTCCAAGGGCTTCTACAGCAAGAAGGAACACAGTGATGCCTCTAAATTAACAGCCAGTTGGGCAATCATCAGAATGTTGGACCTTTCTCTACTTAAAAGGATAGTGTACAGGACCAGCTGTGAAAATGACCACATGTGATAGAACAGGCTGCATGGTGTTTCAAGAGATTCACTTAATATGCTGCCAAATAGAGCTGGAGAGTTGGTTCAGCAGTTAAGAGCACTGACTGCTCTTCCAGAGAACCTGAGTTCAATTCCCACCACACACATGGTATCTTACAACCACCTGAAACTCTAGTTCCAAGGGAACTGATGCCCTTTTGCCAACCTCCATGGTAACCAGACACACATATGCTAGCAAACACTCATACACATAAAATAAAAATAAATATTTAAAAAAAAATGCTTCCAAATAGTTCAGTCATATAGATGGGGACACACATGAAACAATTATATGGGGTTGGGGATACAATGTTTAAGTAGGTTGGTGGGAGAGGAGGAACCAAGAGAAATATGTGCTGCTGAAAAATCTTCACAGGGAATAACTGCTTATCAAAGTTCTCTCTTCGGGTAAGCCTGGATCAGGTAAGATAGGTAGTTAACAGCCACCAGTCCACAGGCACCAAAACAGTACAGTAAGACATTTTGAGGTCCTTGTTCATCTCCTTCTTAGGACTTGCTCTCTTTCCCCTATCAGACCTGCTCAAGCTAAGCAATAGATCCAATCTGGGCCTGTAAGTTATCTCTCCCGGAATACCAAGAGAGTAGTCTGAGAGTCCAGAACTACACCAAGTCAAAGACCATAGAAGTCCTGAAACCACAAGCAGAGGAAGAAATCAGGACTACAAAAAGAATGAACTTGTGAGGGAAGAAAAAAAAAAAAAAAAAAAAAAAATATATATATATATATATATATATATATATATATATAAAGAAATGCACAGAAATGGAGAAAAAGACAAAGACAGGAAACAAAGATAAGGTAGAGACAGAGAAAGGGGGACAAAGAGAGAGATCAAAAACTGGACAGCACAGAAGAGACACAGAAGCCTTACTCGGCTCACCAAGTATGCTTCACACCCCTCAGCCCATGTGCCAGACAACTAGTTTCAGTCTTGCTCCTCCTCTCCCTTTGCCTCTATCCTTCTGTAGACTTTCTGCAGACATGGTCCTTTCTACACACAAGTAAACACAGCCTGCAGTGGAGGCAATGACTGTATTAAAAGGATGAATGAAGGCATGCCTCTGGAAGTCCCAGCAGGGCCCATTCCAAAGGCCAGCTGGATAGGCACTAAGGCACTTGGTCAGTAAAACTGACTGAGAAAAAGACTAAATCGCTGGAGAGGAAGAAAGCCTTTTTCTACGGTGTATGACTTACATTATGACTTATTTACTAAGCACATATGCTTCTTTCTCAACTAAAGTAGTTAATGAGCCACAACACACTTGCCAGAGAGCAGGACAGGAGGATGAAGTGAGTCAAATGCCTACAGCACAAAATCTAAGGAACATTCCCTCTCAGGGAATAAAGTATAGGAATCCCTGAGTAAGAATATCCTCAGAGGCTGGCCTCAGATAGCTAGCTTGCCTCATTCTCTCAATCCTGCCAAAGAACACAGTCTACCAGGCAGAAACCAAATCCCATGCCTGCTTGCCTGCTTCTAATCAGTAAACAAAATTTCACCACAGATCCTCACCCTGTATGTTTCCAAGATTTTCCAGCCCCATCCAGCTCACCAGACTGAGCCTGGAGGCCAGGTGCTCAGACTCCAGTGCTACAACTCAAACCTCTAACCCTTCCTCCTTCTTCATGTCCCCATGCTACTCAGGCCAACATCAATGATCATGGACCTATATAATAGTCTCTGGCTCTCTGAGAGCTTATTTTTAGTCTGTTCTGGTAGTTCTAGGGATGGAACACAACATGTTCTGCATGCTATCTAGATGTTTTACCACTTCTGGGAGCTTGTTACTGAAATCTGACTGCAGATCCAGACCAAACAATAAGACAGAAATTTCCAAAGTCACTCCATGGCAGACTGATTGTCACCTTCCAGCATTCTCCCCTCACCCGTCCCCTTAATAGAAACTTTAGCTGACGCCAGGCATGGTGGTGCATGCTTACAATCCTAGCACTCGGAGGCAGGTGGATAATCATGAGTTTGAGACCAGTCTGATTTACAAAGAGAGTCCGGGACAGCCAAGGCTACACAGAGAAACCCTGTCTTGAAGAAAAAAAAAAAAAGAAGAAGGAAAGAACAGCAGAAGTCATGGCTATCCCAGACTTTCCCACAGATTAGCCACTTAGATTTTCCCTAAGGATGTGTGAAGAGATGCTTCAGGTCAGCCTCAGGATGTATTTCCGAAGGACAAAGCCCGCCTTTCTTTGACCCAGTAAACTACACGCAAACAGTTGGAACTTAAGAAGCTACCCTAGGCCATGGCAAGAAACCACATAATGAGGATCACAAAGGAACATGCTCCCCAAAGTTACCCGGCTACCAGAGAAATAAATGTCTGTCAGAGTCAAGAACACTTGAAATTTTAAGCTTGTGACTATGGTAACAGTAGCCAGCGCTTTACCAAGGCTAGAGTAATAGTTTATGTTAAAACTCTAAACGTTAGAAGTCTTAATATCGTGTATCATCTTTTAGTCTCATTTCTTACACACCTTAAATCACTTCCTCAGACCCTCACATTTCTTAGACCCTCACAATGTCAGTTTTTCATCCATGCTGCTTCAGGTGTTTTGCTGTATGTTGAAACCCCAAAAATGCAACACATGCACTTCTAGACTGAACTAAGTCTCTCATACTTTCTTCCCTCGACAAGAATGTGGCCAGGCAACCTCAACTGCAATCCCAACTATGCTGGGTCCCAGCTCCCTCTTCCCACAGAGCAAGGCCGGGAACTCGGGTTAGGGAATATCATCCATATCCTCACAGAAACAGGCCGGGTGTTCCTAAGGAGCATTCATGGAAAGGGAAGTGAAATTCAATTTAATAGGTGGGCAGTGGTGATGCACACCTTTGATCCTAGCACTCAGGAGGCAGAAGCAGGTGGAGCTCTGTGAGTTTTGTACCAACAGATCAAGTTCCAGGACAGTCAAGGCTACAGAGAGAAACCCTGCCATGAAAAACAAACCAACAACGACAATAATAAGTTTAAAAATAATTTAAAACTTTTTTAAAATAATTTAATTTTTTTTAAAAAATAATTTAAAAAAAAAAGCCATTATTCTGCCTAATGCGGTAGTATACAACTGTAAGCTTAGTACTTGGGAAGCTGAGGCAGGAGGAGATCCACTTTGAGACCACCCTGGCAAAAACAAAGAAACCCTGTCTCAAATAAGTGAAACAGAAAGAAAAATAAGTCATTATTCTCCTATAGTTCCTTAAGTTGTCAAGAGCTCCTAAGTCTGCTGGGTTAAGTCAGCAGCTAGAGAGCCCCACCCATCACTGAAAATCCCAAGATGACAGAGCACAGCTTTAGGATAGCTTTAGGATAGTCGGCAGCACTTTTGACATTTTGAGCCAGTAAGACTATATACATCCTGTTTGGCAGGATGTTAAACATTACGCTTAGTCTCTACCTAATAAACAACAGCAGCACTGCTTCCTAATAATTCTACCCCAAAAATGTCTCTGGATACTGCCAAATGCCACCTTTGTGCCAAACTAAGGTCCCCCTGAGAACCACTTTAGGAGAAGTAAGACAATGTGAGAGATTCTACCACCACCCATCACTTAGATCTCAATGCCAAACATAATGAAGTGAGATGCAGATGGAAAGGCAATGGCTGGAGCAGCAGCATTTTCACTGATCAACAAAGCAATACAAACACGAAGGCTAGAGGACGGCACAGTGGGGTTTGCGGCCCTTCCTGAGTTTGTAACTTCCCGTACCACAGCAACAAGGGATCCAACACCCTCTTCTGGCCTGTGGGCACTGGCATACATGTGGCACACACACAAAGCAACACGTAGCTGAGAATAGCAATACACTTTTTGCGACCCGCCCCCCCAGGCAGGGTTTCTCTGTGTATGTATCCTTGGCTTGCTACATTTAAAAGTAGCAACAACTGTCCAAACAGGGCTAACTGCCTGAGGGGCAAGAATCTGGGTTCAAATTTTCCAGAATTCTTGCTTTTTCAAGAAAAAGTACATATTCTAATTTTTCTTTGTATTGTGTCTAATGTTTGTTTTAGAGACATGACCTTTCTCTATAGCTCAAGCTGGCTCAGTCCTCACTTTATAACCCAGGACTGACCCTGAACTCAGAGCGCTGAGCACTGGGATCACAAGAGTGCGCCACCACACCCTGCTAAATTCTGGTTTTTCAAAAGCTAATAATTAATTCAAATTATTTAAATTTAAAAGACTGTGAATGGGAAGAGGAATAGAGAAATGTAAAAGTGAGTATGATTGAAGTGTGTCACAGACAAGTATGAAGACATTATAACAAAACCCATTATTTTGTACCACTATACAATTAAAAAAATTTTTTTTCTCGTTTTCCAAACAAGGTTTCTCTGTGTAGCTTTGGCTGTCCTGGAGCTCACTCTGCAGACCAGACTGCCCTCAAACTCAAAGATCTGCCTGCCTCTGCCTCCCAAGCATTAGGATTAAAGGAGTGTGCCACTACTGCAAGTCTAACTTTAAATATTTTTTTAAATGGGGAAAACCAGTGCTTCATAGTGAAACCGTCCACATAAACAAACAAACAAACAAACAAATAATAAAAACAGGGGAAGGCCAGAGTCTCATATGTGTGTTCCTTATCTCTTGCCATGTGAAATTCTGTTATCTTGGAACTGAACTGGGGGGCTGAAGAGATAGCTCAGAGGTTAAGAGCACTAGCTATTCTTCCAAAGGTCCTGAGTTCAATTTCCAGAAACCACATGGTGACTCAAAACCATCTATAAGATCTAATGCCTTCTTCTGGTGTATAGGCATACTGTATACATAATAAATAAATCTTTATAAAAATTATTCAAAAAAAAAAAAAAGGCCACTGACCTTCGATTGGAATTGTGAGTTGCTTGATTTATAAATAAAAAAAATTAAGCCAGGCATCATGGCCCATGCCTGCAATCTAAGTACTCAGTAGACTGAAGAAGACACAAATTATTTAGGAAGTTCCAGGCTGAGAAATACATAAATAGATAGATTAAAAAAAATAAATAAATAAGAGCTGTGTAGGCCTAACAAACCTATCTGTGGGCCAAGTCTGGCCCATGAGCCACCATCTTATAGCCTGTTCTCTATAACTAAACATATGGAGACTTCCTAGATCCTAAATTTTTGAATCAAACTGTCTTTCAAAAAAAAAAAAAAAAAAAAAACACACTTAAAGCCAGGTGTAATGGTACATGCTTTTCATCCCCACACTTGGGAGATAGAGGCAGGCAGTTCTCTTTGAGTTCAAGGCCCACCTGGTCTACATAGTGAGTTCCAGGGCTGTCCGAATTACACTGAGACCCTGTCTGAAAAACGAATAAAATTTTAAAATGCCTGTTTATTATTTTTAATATGTGTGTGGGGGGGGGCTGCATGTGGTTATGTGCACCTCAGTGTGGGTAACCATGGAGGCCAGCACTGATTACCTTTGGAGCTGGAGTTATTGGCAGAAGTGAGCCACCTAATGAAGTCTTCCGGAAGAACAGACAATAAGCAGTAAAGTGCTTTTTGTTTTGTTTTTTTTTTTTTTTTTGTTTTTCAAGACAAGGTTTCTCTGTGTAGCCCCGGCTGTCCTAGAACTCACTCTGTAGATCAAGCTGGCCTACAACTCAGAGATCTGCCTCCCTCTGCCTCCCAAGTATCAGGATTAAAGGCATGCACCTCTCCAACCTCTGTCTAGAAAATCTTTATCCCAGATATCCCAACCAACAAGGTGGACTCCTCTAATGTCCCAGTTTCCGGCAAGGTGGACCTTTCTATGTCTTAATTTCAAAACATCATTTTCCACCCTACCCAAACCTCACCCTCATCTTTTGTTTTTTTCAGAACATATGTGTCCAGAGATCATGTTGATCTCAATGTCTTTCCTACCCATTCTCCCTTCTATCACATTCAAACTCTGCTTAAAGTTTAAGCCTATGACCTAAGTTCCAAGAAAGGAAATAAGCTGAGTCCCAAAGCCTCATTGGTTAAATGCTACATGGTTTTATGCCTTGGCCTTACTTCTAGTAAGACCCTGTCCTCAGATATGAATTCTGTAAATGCCTGAGCTTCCAGGAAAGGGACTCATAATTCTAGTCCTAAGAAATCTGGGTAAAGATACACCGTGAGTGAATGAGAATCAGAAACCCAACGGCTACATTGCTAAGAAGTGATGCCACTCCTTCAGTCAAAAGATAAAATTCTTGGTATGAAGATAGGCTTTCTGTGCTCAAAAAAAAAAAAAAAAAAAAAAAAAAAATAAGAGGCCATTTGGTATGGTGCCTGCTGCTTTCAACAGGCCACAAAGAGCGGCAGTGACAGGAAGGGGGTACCCCATCATCTAGAGAAGCCTATATTCTCCTTGATGCCTTTAAATTAGTTTCTAAGGAAAGGCTGGGAGCACAAGGCCTTAGCTCTGACTTATTACAAATAGTGATGTTGACACCACCGAAACCACCTGACCCTCCAAAGCGGCGGCAGGGCGGGGGGAATCATCTGGAAAGACAAATGCAAGACACGTACCAACCTGTCTCAGAGTAGGGAACAAAAATACAGGATAGTTAAGAAAAGTCCCAAAGCCGTGAAGAGATTCAAACTTCTCCCACCCCCATCCTTTATATTTACTTATGTCTTAGAACCAAATAAACCAAATAAGTGATAATTTTTTTTCCCCATAAGGTATATGATGCCTCACACCTTCTCTCCTCCCCCAAAGAACAAAATTATAACACTCAGGTATCAGGTACCCACACAAATTAATATGAGACCCCACACCTCCACATCTGCTCCCCGCCTCACCCCCATACTTACATATACAGGCAGCAGCAAGGAGACGGCAGGCCACATATGGAGGATCACAGGTGGGGAAGGAGGGCTTGATGATATAATTGGCGAAGGTGATGGCGATGACGGCCTGACTGGTTGGCTCAACAATTAGAAGTGAGTTCCATAGACGGATAAAGGCGATGAAGCCCCCAAACGCCTCTAGAATATATGCATAGCTGGCCCCTGACTTGGTGATAGTGGTCCCCAGTTCTGCATAACAAAGGGCACCCACAACAGAGAAGAGCCCACCAATGGCCCACACAACTAGAGACAGCCCATAGGAAGCAGTATATTTTAGAACACCCTTGGGTGAGACAAAGATCCCTGAGCCAATCATGTTGCCCACCACCAGGCTGACCCCATTGAGCAAGGAGATCTCCTTCTTCAGCTGCATAGTTTCTGGAGACCCTTGAGATGGTGAGCTGGCATCTTCTTTTACAGTGTGCTGGCTGGCCTTGGGGAGAAGATGGTACGTGGGTGTGGGGCTCTCAAGCTCCCTGGCTTCCATGGTAAATGGATCCTGTACACCTGTGTTTACTGTGGCCTGGCAAAGAAAAAAAGTATGTCAAGTCTAGGGCAGGAGTTAGTGTAACTCTGGCTTAATTTCACCTGCCAGTCAGAGAGATTTCCCTGCCCACCACTTGCTTAGGCATATCTCCCAACATGCAGAACAACAGACCTGTTTCAATTCCAGTCATAAGACACAGACACTAGAGGCAGGCAGTATCCAGTGCTCCTAAGAAAGACATGAGTGCTCAGTCCCAACCTAATGACAACTTCCAACAAGAGATCTGTCTTAATGAGCAAAGAGGCCAGCAAAACTATTTGTCTACGGTGGATTCTCCCTAGTTTTGCTCAATTCTGTTTGATCATTTGAGACAAAGTCTGCCTATATAGCCCTGGCTGTCCTGGAACTCACTATTAAGAGCAAACTGATGCCAGGCATGGTAGCACATGCCTATGATTTCAGCACTCTGGGAAGCAGAGGTAAGCGGATCCCTATAAGCTTGAGGCAAGCCAAAAGAATGGGATCAGCTTTCCAAAATCCTCTGCTCAACAAAGATGCAAAGCTGGGGGCTCAGAGAGATGCCTCAGAAGTTAAGAGCACTGGCTGCTCTTCCAAAGGTCCTGAGTTCAATTCCCAGCAAACACAGGACGGCTCACAAACATCTATAATGAGATCTGGTACATATATGCTGGACAGAACATTGTATATATAATAAATAATAAATAAATCTTTTAAAAAAAAAGATGTAAAGCTAGGTAAGAGTGGCACACACCTATATTTCCAGCACTTGTGAGGCTGAAACAAGGGGATCTCCGTTCAAAGTCAGTGTGGACTTATTGTGACATCCTGCCCTTAAAAAAAAAAAAGAAGAAGAAGAAAAAAGAAAGGGGGGGAGGTGAGCTGGCTAGAGGACAGAAGAGAAAAAATAAAACATAATGTCTATATTAGCTCCTGGCTTAACAGGCCCCAGGGCAAAGGAACCAAGGTCATTTGAGAGTGAAAAAAGTTTTCAGGGGAAGCTCCTCTATCTCCACAGACCATACACAAAACCCTTCTCTTACTTGTCCCAATCCCCTTCCAAGAGTCTGGACCTGGGCCCAAGTCAAAAAGATTGTCTGGGGCATGAGAAATCTCTTTAAGTCCAGAAGAGTGGGCCCAGACTACTTCTATTTAACAAGACTAGACTTTTCAGAAAGGACTTCTCATTCTTGGCACTAAGTGATGTAGGTTTCTCTATGCAAGCATGTGGAAGCATATTTGTTTCACATGTCTGTCAAGTGAGTTCAGGTTTCCATGGGAACAAATCCAGTAAACAGCTAGGAGTCTAGACTCTCCGGTAAGAGTGAAGTACAAAGAGACCTTCAGGGCACTTTTTTTTACCTAACTCAACACTCAGATAGGCAGAAAAGTCTGGCCCTAGAGTCCACTCCAGTCTCTTCTATTCCTCAAAAATTAGCTGAGCGTGAGGGTTACCAGGTATTCCTTTTGTACTTGTACAACCTGGCACCAAGCGTGTCTGATATACCAAACACCCAGCAGCTTGTTCTGAAAGAATGTGCTATAGTCAGTCACACTCGAAGACCTCTTGCCTAAATCTTAGTCCCAGCACCTGAATGAGGGACTTTAGGAAGGACTCTGCTCGCCTTCAGCCAAGGAGAAAGCTCGTTTCTTCATTCGAAAACCAAACACAATTATCACTATGAGCCTGTCCTCGGCCAAGTAATTAAAACCCCTATCTTTTTTAACCCAAGAGCAAAATTGTGAAATAACTATAACAAACTCCGGAGGACAGATAGCTGAATTTCAGACTTGCTTTGCCATAAAACCCCAAGGCCATTCCTTACCTTTTCTCTAAACCTAACACCCCCACCTCACATTCCTCTGGAATACTGGCCAAGCACCTCATCCTCAAGGGTTATATATAAAGACACAACAATGAACAAAATAAAGTAAGTATGGGCATGGTTTGTATACTCAGAATAAAACAATTGTGATGTGGCAGCATAAAAACAAGACCTAAGATCAGAGACTGGAATTCACCAGCTCACTGCACCTCACCATTTCGACCTTCAGCTGTTCTTTCCAAAAACCTTATTGACTCTGTTAGTGTTACAGTAGACAACATAAAACTCTTCAATAAAATGTGAAGGCTTGGGCTAGAGAGATGGCTCAGTGGATAAAGACATTCGTCACCAAGACTGATGACCTTATTTTGATCCCCAAAACCCACACGGTAGAGCAAACCAGCTACCACAAGTCGTCTGTGACCTTTACACACATGCATTCACGTGCACACACAAATATGTATATAAACGTAATAAAAAAATATTTGAAGACAACGAGGTGGAGATGATGATAAAAATGGGCCAGACTCTTGAGAAAGATTAGGAGATAATTTGTTCACAGTTTCAGAAACCAAAAGAAATGTCTGTAATCCCAGCACTCGGGGAGGCAGAGGCAGGCAGATCTAGGAGTTCAGGGCCAGCCCAGTCTACAAAGCAAGTCCAGGACAGCCAAGGCTGCACTGGAAGGGAGGGAGGGAGGAAGGGAGGGAGGGAGGAAGGGAGGGAAGAAAGAGAGAGAGAGAGAGAAAAAGAAAGAAAGAAAGAAAGAAAGAAAGAAAGAAAGAAAGAAAGAAA